GAAGTACTTATATAACTAAAAAATAAATAAACAAAAACTTCACATTAGTATAAAAAAATTAAATACATGAGTGCCAATCTAACTTACAACACATAAACTTCTTTAAAGATTATTATGTAAAGCTTTAATGGCAGAAATAAAAAATGATATAAATAAATGGAAAATATACCTTACAGCTCTTTAAGAGATTCAATATAGTAAAAATGTCATTATTTTCTAAGCCAGCAATTTTCAACCAGTTGCCATAACATACTGGTATTAGTCAGGAGCCCTGACCTCTTTTCCCTTAGATTGTCCAATGAGAAAATGACAACAACCAACACAACAATAACCCTCTCGTGTGAATGCCCTGTCTTGAACCATAAATACATAGGTCATATAATAGAGATGAATCTCATTGGTCATGTCACATAATAAGATGGTATCTGATTGGTTAATTCGTAGTACCAGAAGTCCTTATATACAAGTATAGATGCCTGGTTTTTTAAAAAAGATTTTATTTATTTTTAGAGAGAGGAGAAGTGAGCGAGGAAAAGAGGGGGAGAAACATTGATGTGCAAGAGAAACATTGATCAGTTGCCTCTCACAGCGCCCCAACTGGGGACCTGGCCTGCAACCCAGGCACATGTCCTGACTGGGAATCAAACTGGCAACTTCTCAATTAGCAGGTCAGTGCTCAATCCACTGTGCCACACTAGCCAGGGCTAGGGACCTGATTTTTTTAAAAATCACTTTAGAGCAAAAAGTGTAAGAAATTACTATTACTACTTTTTTTGGTAAATCAATAAAAATTAAGAACTTCTCGCCAAGAAGCAGGCATAGGTAGATTCGCTTCGCTTGCTTGCACAACCAAAAAGATAACAACCAATTTGAAAACAAAAACCAACCAGAACTGCCAAAAAATCAAACTGTATAGAAGTCCAACAACCAAGGAATTAAAGAAAAACATTCCTCCAGACTGGTAGGAGGAGCGGAGATGGGCAGCTGGGGCAGAGAGGATGCGTGTCAAGGCTGCAGCTGGCCGACCCAGCAGTCCCACATTTGCAGGCAGATAAGCCAGGAGGAACAACCGGGGAGCAAGACAGACTATGCAACCAGGGTTCCAGTGAGGGAAAAGAAAGCCTCAAAACCTCTGGAGGTAAAAACCTGTGGGGTTTGCAGTGGCAAGAGAAACACCCAGTCTCACAGGGGAGTTCATTGGAGGGACCCACAAGTTCCTAGAATATACACAAGCCCACCCACCTGGGAAACAGCACCGGAAAGGACACAATCCACTTGTGGGAGGTGAGGGAAGTGATTGAAAGCAGGGCAAGAGCCAAACAAGTGGCACTGTTCCCTCTCTGACCGCTCCTCCACATACAGTGCCACAATGCAGGGAGACGGGTTGCCTGCCCTGGGGAACACCTAAGGCTCTGCCCCTTACAATGTAACAGCTGCCCTGAGACAAAGGAATATGGCCCAAATGAAAGAACAGCTCAAAACTCCAGAAAAACAACTCAGTGATGAGGAGATAGTCAACCTATCAGATGCAGAGTTCAAAACACTAGTAATCAGGATTGTCACAGAATTGACTTAGTTCAGTTGCAAAATAGAGGAAGAAGTGAAGGCTATGCAAAGTGAAATAAAGAAAAATATACAAGGAATCAACAGTGAAAGGAAGGAAACCAGGACTCAAATCAACGATTTGGAGCAGACGGAAGAAATAAACGTTCAACCAAAACAGAATGAAAAAACAAGAATTCAAAAAAAAGAGGAGAGGCTTAGGAACCTCTGGGACAACTTTAAACATCCCAACATACGAATCATAGGGGTGCCAGAAGGAGGGGAAGAAGAGCAAGAAATTGAAAACGTATCTGAAAAAATAATGAAGGAAAACTTCCCCAATCTCGTGAAGGAACTAGACATGCAAGTCCAAAAGCTCAGAGAGTCCCAAAGAAGTGGGACCCAAGGAGGATTACACCAATACACATCTAAATTATCCAAGATTAAAGATAAGGAGAGAATCTTAAAAGCAGTAAGAGAAAAGAGTTGCCTACAAAGGAGTTCCCGTAAGACTATCAGCTGATTTCTCAAAATAAACCTTGCAGGCAAGAAGGGGCTGGAAAGAAGTATTCAATGTCATGAAGGCAAGGACCTACTTCCAAGATTATTCTGTCTAGCAAAGCTATCATTTAGAATGGAAGGGCAGATAAAGTGCTTCCCAGATAAGGTCAAGTTAAAGGAGTTCATCACCACCAAGCCCTTGTTATATGAAATGTTAAAGAGACTTTTCTAGGAAAAAGAAGATCAAAACTACGAACAGGAGGACAACAAACTCACAACTATCTGAACCTGAAAAAAAAACCCAAAACAAAAACAAACTAAGCAAACAACTAGAACAGGAACAGAATTACAAATATGGAGATCACATGGAGGGTTATCAGCAGGGTGGGGAAGGGGGAGAATGGGGGAAAAGGTACAGGGAATAAGAAGCATAATTGGTAGGCACAAAATAGGCAGGGGGAGGTTAATAATAGTATAGGAAATGTAGAAGCCAAGAACTTAGATGAATGACCCATGGACGTGAACTAAGGGGGGTGGCAAATGCTGGATGGACGGGGTGGGGCATGCAGGGCAGAGGGGGACAAAAGGGAGAAAAAATGGGACAACTGTAATATCATAATCAAGAAAATATACTTAAAAAAATAAACTGTAGCTCAACATAAAAAGAATTATAACATTTTTTGTCAGATCAGCAAAAAAACCTTTTTTTGGTGTGTTGCAGAATTGTAGTAATTAGTTTATGTGTGCCATGAGATGAAAGAGGTTGAAAATCGCTGTCCTAAGCTAATGTATAGGTTTTAATATAATATACAATGAAAGGTTCTTGGTAGATAGATATCTTAGAACTTGATTAATAATGAAATTAATCTCAAACAGGCAAGACTGCCGAATATAAGGTTTCTGAAGGTAACAGGAGTGAGTTCTTGTTTTCAGCGGTTAGGTCACCTTTCCGGTCTGACTCACTGCCTGTGCTCCAGAGTCAAGTCCCCTTGATATCCACCCCTCCTTCCTTCTGCTTTGAGTGCCCAATTGCTGTCTATACCAGTATTGCACCTAAGCCCAGTTGCTGGTTTTCTTACCCGATGATTCTTCCATTAGACTGTATGTTGGTTCCTTGATGGCAGAGACTATTTTCTTTGTACCCTACCCAGCACTTAGCACCAAAACTACCACAAAGCAGGCACTCAATAATGTTTGTTGAATAAAGCAAAGCAAATATAAGCTGCATAGTTCTGTGTTTAAAACAGAAAAACTGGTCAATAGAAATAGGAATTTCCCCAAATGGGTTAAGATATTAGAAAAATTCAACACTTAACAAACAAGAAAAGTTACCGTGGGAAAACATCACTAATAAATATTATTGGAAAGTTGGATATTAGTAAAGAAAAAATATCTTAGATTCATAGCTCATCTGATCTTATAAGTTGTAATAAACTTCAAATGAATCAAGGACTTTAACATTTTCTTTAAAATCTATTTTTAAAAACTAAGAAGAAAGGTGAGGACTTTAACCCAGGAATGAACAGTGAACCTAGGAATGCAAGAAGTTGTATGACTATCAAACAGCATCAGAAACAAGGTGGAAATGTTCAAAAAAATATAGAATTTATAACCTTTCATTATGTGTAAAAACATAAATATCAAAAGGAATTAGAAAATAAATGGCCAATCCTTACCATATAAAACATATATTATGCAAATTCCCAGATTCCACTTGATAAATGGGTAAAACTAGATGTGAAACAGGCAATAAGTTACATGGAAAAAAAAGCACAGATTCCACAGTCTAAGATTTTCAAAGTCAAATAAAATACCTTTAAGCTTTTTACACATCTTTGAGCTATCAAAAATATCAAACTAATAAAACCAGGTATGCTTATTGCTGATGGTGATATGAAATGTTTTAATCTTTTTGGAGAACAATCTGGCAATATGTAACAGGAGCTTTAAAATTTTTCATGCCTGCTAGGTAAACACTCTGGGTAATGAGCTATAAGAAAATAGCCCCAATGAACAAAGTAATTTATATAAAGATATTCAGTGCAGAAAAACTAAAACACACAAATGTACACAAAAGGAATGTGTAAGCAAACTGGTATATTACACAACAGAATAACTACAGCTGCTATTCAAAGTGGTAGGTGAAATATTGTAAACAGAATAATAGGAGAAGGTACATAGAAAATGTAGAACATAAAAAAGTGTACATATACAAATATCTGTACTTTGAAAATGTGGAGACAGAGAAATCATGTATTCGCTTCTTTTCTCATAAAGTTTAAAAAAGAAAACCAAAACATTCTGGCCATGCCCAGTGTGTGGATGGATCTTGAGCCTATGGTGAAACTACTGAGAGAAGGAGATTTTGAGTTAAGGATTGGCACTTTCCCTAATGTGATTCCAAACTCTCCTGTGATGAGATGCTTTCAAATTTTAGATATGATAGTGTATAACTGTCATCCTTAGGTAGAAATTACCTTCCCACAAGCAGGGTCCTCTTAAAACCCCCACCTCACTAGCTTGTACCCACAACTGTTGCTGCTGGAAAACAAGCAGCAAAAGGGCAGGGGAATCACCCAATGTGCCCCCCAGCATGGACCCATCCCTTGTCCTCCCTCACAAGGCACCCAAGTGGCCCTTGTCAGGCAGCAGGAAGCCTTCCTGGTTGAGAGCAAGGTTCCATTAAGCTGATATGTGCTGAGAGAAAAGACATTTAAACCCAAGCAGTAGAGGATTGTTAAAATATCAGCTGAGGTTCTAGGATTCTTCCCAAACTCACTTGGCTCTCTCAAAAGAGGCATCGCATGTGTTTGGGAAAGAGCCTACGCTGAGCCCGATTATTCTGTACGACCAGAAAGGAACCTTTCTCAAGGGCACCGAAAGTCAAATTTAAGAGCCTTAAGGATGTGGATATACAAACAAGGGAAGACAGAATGAAATTCTAAGTGGACACTTACTTTCCGCAGCACATGTGATGCTTATCGGGCATTCCCACGCCCAGGACAAGGATGCAGTACTTCTGCGCCAAGTATTTCTGTGCTGCTTCTAACTTACTTAAAACTAATTCCATCTCTTTTTTCTCTACAAGGCCCCTGAAAAGAAAGAGGATAATTCGATTAATTTTGGCAAATACATATCTTAATTAATGAAAAGTCAGAAGTACAAACTATTGTGAAAGAAATGTAAATGAGTCAACACATCTGACTTATCCTTTCATTTATTTTATTCAAGCTGTGGCAAAGGTCCTCACACTCCTTTGATATTTATCACTGTCATCAGCATCTCAAGTTTATGGCACATTTTCACTTTTTTTTATAGATTCTTTATACTTTATGCCATGTATCCTTAATTTTACATACAGGAAGTCGTAATTATTACCTATCTTGATTTCTGTAGCAGCTAGCAGCCCAATCTCCTGTTGTTCTGCTAAAACAGCCATGAAGACTCCCACCTCAGCTTCCCCAGGGTTCCTGATGTTCCTTCTAAGGGTGAGGGCTCAGCCTTCACCTCTGTTTGCTAAGCAGGCATCTGTGAGCTACTACTCTGAAACTTTGACATCAATTACAATAACCACTTGGTGAAAACACACCCCAGTGCCATCTGAATTGCAAATGAACTTTAAAAGACAGCCTGTTCTTAGGTTACAACATGTCCAAAGCCTAATTTTAGAAGTTTTTGAAGCTTAGAGGAAACAGTATTACCCACACTACATTCCAATGACTGCTATTGAAAAGGTACGCGTCGCTAGCTTTTTTCCTTGACTTAATTTTCAGAAAGATTTAAACCAAATGAAATGCACTCTAAATGACAGGGACAAATTATTGCCCCTTCTGATGTTAAGCAGTAGATTGACCACATGAGGATACGCTGTGAGGAGAGGAAGGCGGGTTTGAAAATAATATAGATAGTTCAAAGCACAAAACATTATTATCACATGTGATGAGAAGGCTTTTCAGTAGCTGAAATAAGATGAGTTTCTGGAACAGATAAATTGGGTTCCAACTTTAAATGCCCAAATTTCTTATCACCCAAACACACATCCCCACAAGCCCCAACGGCCAGCTCCATGCCTGACTCCCTGGTTCCTTCAGCAGTTTCCTCCCTCACCATTCACCCCTACTTTGCCATAGCTGCCAGTAGCTAATATTCTCTTTTTGTTGTAAACAAAACAAACAACAACAATCAAGAAACGCCTTGTGACTTTTTAGGCCAATGGTTCTCAAGTTTAAATTCATATAAGAATCGCCTTGGGTTACTCGCTAAAAATTCAGATCCCCAATGCCACTTCTTCTCAAAGATTCTGGGTCAGTTCGGGGTAGAACCTGGCATTTAAAACAAGCCCAGGTATAATCCTCTGGAAGAAAACTGATAATAATTTTAAGTATCATACAATTGATCATAAACTTTAATCCAAAATCTCCCTTGGAAATATATTCCTCTTAAAAACCATCCAAAAAATTAGGGGAGCATGTAACGCATGAACATATTCAATATAATCATTAATCTTTTGCCTATCAGAAGAATTAGGAACTCTCAAAATATATAAAATTGAAGGAGAAAATGAGTAGTAATACAGACTGTAGTAACACAGCCAGGTACTGTTTAACCTAATATATGACTCCCTGCAAGACTTAAGCCAGGCACCAAAGCCTGTACGCTTAACCACTATACATACTGTCTCTTAACAGGTAAGTCAGTAAGTCAATGATATACATAGGCTTGATGGAATGTTATGTCACCACTGAAAATTATAATTATGAAGACTTTAATAACAAAAAATACTTATGACATAATGTTTAAAACTACATACATTTTTTAAAACTGCATATATAAGTGTGCCGTTGTTCAGAAACTGTATGTCTAAAGGTGGAGTGAAGGTATAATGACCATTGAACCATAGGGATATCTTAAGACTGAAAAAAACAAACAAACAATGCAGGGGGTGGATATAAGGGGGATAATTAGTAATGCAAAAAAATACAATTAAAAAAAGGAAAAAAAGACTGAAAAATGAACCAGCGAAGTCTGTTAACTATTATAGACTTTCTTACAGGGTAAGTTACTTACAAGGGATAAGATTGGAGCGGACAGGCAATACAGTAGTCCAAGGCTACATAGGTAACCTCTGACACCAGACAGCTATTGCAACAAATATTTTATAGTCTAGCTGAACTACTAATGACTGACAAGACACAGGGGCAAAAATGCAGTACAAACCAGGAACCATGTCCCTTGGTGGTCTTTTGATGGATACTTGCTTAGAACTGAGGCCAACACCTAGTTTGATATTTATCTCAGTTGCTATGCCATTCTGACAGTTTACTGACAGGAATATTTATAATTACATGGTGTACATTTACAGGACACAGCTAATCATTAACTAGGGCTCCGGTGCCAGCTAACACTTCTAGTTAGGTCAGAGTTCTCAGCATGGAAACTGAAAGAACAACAAAAGCAGGGATACACAGATGGATGCAGCTTTGTTCGCACCAACATCTGTACACTAGAATTCTTCACTGTACATGGTTGAGCTGTGAAAAAGGGAACGAGTTGATGGGTAGCAAGATGGTGGGCACAGGGCACAGTGCGCAGTCGTGCAGGCACAGGCCCTTGGGTTAGAACGACCTGGATTCTAATTTCGGCTCCATTAATTACAGGTATGTAACCCCCAGCCCATTATGTAACCTCTTGAGCCTGAGTTTCTTCATCTGTAAAATGAGGATAGGGTTTCTTTCTTCTTCTGCAATTAAGGGTTTTAATCATCTAAAGCCATCAACAGTATCTTTGCTGTCCTATATCCCTTTCTGCTCTTCTTTCACAGTTTTTAGGCTTCATTCCCAAGTGCCAAGCACTACATTAAGATAATATGCATTATTACTCTGCGAAGTAGGTACTATTCTTATCCCTATGCTGTACCTCAGCAGTTTGAGTAAAATATTTTTTTTCTTTAAAGTTACTTATATCCACATATTTTCAATGCAATCTATATTTATTTCTATTTTAATAAATAAACAAACAGACTACTGGAAGCCAGAAAATAAAGTTACCATAACTTTTTAGAATCACACCATAGAATCAATAATTTTAAGTCTTGTGTTTTGTTGCTGTTTTATTTTGAAAGGGCTTTTATTAAAGCTGAGGACAGTGAAACAAAGGAAGGGCTTAAAATAGAAGAGGCAATGTCAGAGCAACAGGAGTGAGCCTGGGCAGAGCTGCCTTGGCCACTTGGAAACGTGAGGAAGAACTTAGCCTGCACATGGCTGCATGGGCCCTAAAGAAAAAAAAGTCACAGTGGCAGAAGAAGTGAGTGAGCTGGGCTGCATGGATTCAGGAAACAAGTTACAGAGGCAAAAGAAAGGTCCTTGGAGACAGACTCCGAGGGTTAGCCCAGGGCAAGCTGCCACAGCCCACTGCTCCCCTGGTGGCAAGTTTGTGGGAACCCCTGGAGCTTAGGAGAAAGAATACAAAAATACACGACTGAGGACAGAAGGTGGGGGAAGGCAGGTGAGTGCTCAAGGGAGAGTGCGCCTTGTTTTTCTATATATCATTCTGTAACTGATTCCTTCTAAGAAACCCTACTTTACACCACTGTGTTCTATTAAGTTTTTGTGAATTTTTAAAATAACTTAGAAACCTTTCTTCTGTTATCTATTCCTATAAATTAAGAAATGAAGCAAATCTCTCTGCTAGATTAACAATAATCTTCTGAATAAGGAGAGAAAACACCTACTGAATATAAAATAACGTGTAACCAAAGTCTAATAAGTTTCTTTTTGGGAATAGTAAGACTCCTCAGACCTTCCAAGCCCATAGGTGGCTTGAGCCCTTATGCCTGTTCTCACAGAAACACTTTATGATCTCTGGATGCCCTGCTGTGGAACACAGGCCTGAAATAACACAGGTGATGCATATTATGATGGCTTTACTGGAGCAGCAGTGTTTGAATTGTTTATTTGGTTCTCTATAAAACTGCTCTCTGGATATATTTATCCATTCATAAAATCAAACTGCCTGGTTGTATACAAGGATTTTATCCATAAAATCAAACTGCTTGGTGGTATATAAGGATTTTTTTGGTTGTACACAAGGAATATTTTACAGATTGAAAATATTCTGCAGCAACAGACTAACGACTCCATCAGCATTCCTAACAGCTAAATCATTGGGTTGGTTCCACATGTACTGGTGAGGGTAGCCTGGGCACTTGGAAAGTTCCATGGCTTTTGAAAGGTCACCGAGCCTGAGAGGCATTGTTCTGCTCTGGACTCTGAGTTCCAGATTTTTACCCTGGGTGGATAGCTCTGAGCCACTTCTGTCTAAAGCAGTTCAATTCTTCATATGTAGCCTAAGAAAGGTTGTGGGATTTTACTTTTTCCCCTGTGATATGGAATATTATTTTGGTTAAATCTATCTTTTTTTAATTCGTAGGTTTTAAAAAATATTTTTTAATCCTCATCCAAAGATATGTTTTGATTTGAGAGAGAGAGAGAGAGAGAGAGAGAGAGAAAGAAACATTGATGTGAGAGAGAAATATCCGTCGGTTGCCTCCTGCAAGTGCACCAACTGGGGATCAAACCTGCGACCTAGGTATGCACACCGACCAGAAATCAAACCTGCAGCCTTTTGGTGTACAGGACAGTGCTCCAACAAACAAAGCCAGCTGACCAGGACTAATTCTTAGTTTTTTAATTAGACACTTACAAACCCATTAGCAAGAAAAAGCATGCAAATAATATCTATATCTATCCTGTTCACTATGGTAGCCACGAGCTACCTGTGGCTATTGAACACTTACTGTGGCTAGTCTAAATTGAGATATGTTCTAAGTATAAAATAGGTAGCAAATTTCAAAGACTACAAAAAAACAGTAAAGTATTTCATCAATAACTACCTAATGTTGACTGCATTTTGTAATGATAACATTTTTGGGACATTGGTTAAATAAAATACATTAAAATTAATTTCACTCATATTTGTTTACCTTTTTAAAATATGGCTACTAGAAAAATTTTAATTACATACGCGGCTCTCATTATATTTCTACTGGGCAGTGCTTGTCTATATTATTTGGAATATTTTGTTACCAGAATGTCCATCTGAATTATTCAGCGAGCTTTAAAAACTGGTGAACTCCTTCCAAGTAAAATGTTTTTGTCTACTACAAAAATTTAAAATTTTCCATCACCTCTTCACCCTAGACAAAAGTTAGTTTTAATACTGGTAGTGATGAAACTCTAAAGCACATTACAAAATCCTACTTACACCATATAGCTTTTGGGCTTCTTTTCCAGTGAGATTTTTTCCAAGTAATGAGATAAATAGTACAATAATGCCATGAGGAAATTGTCAAGGTTCTTATTCCTATAGGGAGATGGAAAAAAGAAATTAACACTAACAAATTTCAAACATAAGTTTCTCATAAAAAATATATAAGAACACAGAGCATAATAAGTAGAAATACATGTTAGCATGTCTATCATACAATTAATTTCCCATTTTAAATTCTATTACTATACTGTTTAAGATGTAAGAAAGCTGAGTTTTGTAAATAAAACATTTTGGAAGGTCAGACATTAAATTATCATTTTGATAACTGATAACTTAAATTGATAAGTTTTGATTATTAATTAGGTTTAAATTTTTTTAAGTTTTAGCCCTGGCCCATGTGTCTCCATTGGTTGGAGCATCATCCTGTGAACTGAAAGATCTTGGGTTTGATTCTCAATCAGAGCGCATCCCTAGGCTGTGGGTTCCATCCCCAGGTGGGATGCAACTGATGGATGTCTGTCTCTCTGGCTCTACCCTTCTTTCCTCCCTTCCTTCCCCTCCCCTCTCTCTCTCTCTCCTCTCTCTTTCTCCCTCCCTTCCTCTCTCTCTAAAATCAATAAGCATGCCCTCAGATGAGGATAAAAAAAGTTTTTATTATATAAGTGATATTTTTCCATTGTTTAAGAAATGTACACAAACGTAACAAGTAAAGCGTTTTCTCCTCTCACCCCTCTGTCACCATTCTATTCCCTGGTTGGTAACCACTGTTATGAGTTTGTTATGAGTCCTTCTTAAACTTTCCAAAGCACAGACAATGACATACAAGGCACCCCCCCGACACACACTGACACATATACATATCCAGGAATACATCTTAATTTTTTGTAACAAACAAGATAGTGCTGCATATACAAATGTTTAAAATTTGTTTTTGTGTAGCAAGGACCTCTTTTCAAAATACTATTAATAGATTATCCTCACTCTTTGAAACAGTTGAATAAAATATTCTATACCTCATAATTTACGTGACTAGTCTTCAATTGATGGATATTTAGATCTTTTAAAAACATTAGAGACATGACTGCAGCAATTATTATTATAATCATATTTCTGAGTAACTTTTTAAGTGAAATTGCTAGGACATAGTATATATGTATATTAAAGTTTTGTAAATCTTGCTCTCCAAAAAAACTGCACTGATGTATAATCCTTTCTCATTTGCTTTTATACTAGAAGTCATTGTTTTCTTATTCTATATTCTTACAAGACTTTTGCTGCTTCCTTTATAAACCCAAATAGAAATTCTTACTCTGGCATTCTTTCTTTAACTGCACCTTGAGCGTAGGATAAAGGTGAGCATTGCATTTTTTTTTTCAGGGTATTAATAGCTACCTGTTTTAGGTTGGGTTCTCCTAGAAACTAACTCTGAGACAAAGATCTGAAAGTAAGTAGTATACTGGGAAAGAGACATCAGGAAACATCAGTAGGAGAGTGGGAAAGTGAGACAGGAAAGAGAAGGAAGCCAACAAATAATAAGTTTATTATTATTTTGGACAAATGAAATTCAGTCCTGTAGGGGACTCTGGGAGACAGTGCAGAAAACCTCTCAAAGTTATCTGGATAGATGGACGCTGGGATATTCATCTACCAACTCTCTCTCTGGCACATCACAGACTGCAGGCTGCTTCTGGGGCACTGATTCCATAGAGCAGAGGTACTCAATCCCCAGGCCATGGAGCTGTACCGGTCTGCGGCCTTTTAGACACCAGGCTACAACACAGCAGGAGGTGAGTGGTGGGTGAAGCTTCATCTGTATTTACAGCCACTCCCCATCGCTTCCATTACCACCTGAGCTCTGTCTCCTGTCAGATCAGCTGTGGCATTAGAGTCTCGCAGGAGCGCCAACCCTACTGTGAACTGCACATAAGAAGGATCTAGGTTGCGCGCTCCTTAATCTAATGCCTGATGATCTGAGGTGGAGTTGAGGCGGAGCTGAGGCGGTGATGCTGGCGCTGGGGAGCTGCTGCAAGTACAGATTACCATTAGCAGAGAGGTTTGACTGCACAGAGACCATAATAAATCAATTGCTTGCAGGCTCATATGAAAACCCTATCAGTGAGTGGCAAATGACAATTAAACTGCATCTGGGGGCAGGCTATAAAGCTATTCCCCACCCCCCACACCCCACCCTGGTCCGTGGAAAAACTGTCTTCCACCAAACCGGCCCCTGGTGCCAAAAAGGTTGGGGACCACTGCCCTGGAGCTCCTTGCTCTGTAGTCAGGCTCAGCATGCGCCTGCCATGGAGTGAAGCTTCAGATGGAGAATCTCAGGTGTTTGCCAAAACAGTCTTCAATGAATGTTGAGGGAATTGGAGAGGACTGCCAATAGCCTTGGGGCCCCGACTCTCACTGAGCACTCACGAGTGCAGGTGCCATGTGAAACAGCTTCCATGAACGGCTGTGAGACACCATTACTTCCAATTTTGTATCTGAGGAATCCAGAAGGTCACCAAGAGTCACACACCTAGTACTTTTGGGGCTGCCAAACAGAGCTAATGGAGAAAACTGATCTTCAGTAAATGAGTATAACTTGTAACTATTATATAAATACAGTGCGGCCTTTATGGAACTCTGACAACATGCTCTCCAATCTCCTTGCCCTGGGATTTCACTGTGGGCTCCTGTGACTTCCGGCTTCCTCTCTTTCGGCCTGGGTCACTGAGAGGATGGCTTGCATAGAGCTAGCCCCGTGGCCTTTCTCCAAAAACCAGATTTGTCATCATTTATCAGATAGAGAGGATAAAAGGTCTAAAATGTCTCACAAGCACTGCATACTTCATAAATGTTGTAAAAGAACAGATCCGCTGCATCTCAGTCTCTTGCAGCAAAAACAAAGCAACAACTGAAAAAAAAAGAAAAAAAAAGAAGATGGACAACTGAAAGAGGAACAAAGAGCTGCCTTAGAGATTCACATCAGGTAAGATATAAGGATGAGGAAGCAGTTACTCACATTTAGCATCATGCAGTGTAACTTTGCCCTGCTGGCCTCGTTTTTCTAAGGCTTGAAGTGACTTAGCATCTCTTGAAGCAATTCTTTTATCTGTCAACCTGTTTTAGAATATAACAGTCTCCGGTAGTGCTTTGAAAGGTTTTAGTTGTATTTAATCTATCCCGAGGTGGATGAGGCTTTTACTATAAAATGAGAAGAACCTAAGTCTCATTCTTGGGTTTTGTTTAAGGTAGGATCATTTCAGAATATGTTGTATTAAATGTTATATGTACCATGCTACGTGTGTGAGAAATGTACACCGCCTGACGTAAAGTGTAAAAACCAATTCCATCCAAAATAGATCATTTAAATCATCCATCTATGGTGTAGATACTATTTTCAGATAAAAGTATATAAAAAGCTAAAAATTTGCTAATAGGCAAATTATCACAGGGATACATTTATAGGGACTATTGTACCTCTATAATTATGAAAGAGTATATGCTCTTTACTTGATGGGTATTTGAATTTCAACCTAGGTGAATGGGAATGATATATATTTTTTTGAGTTTGTAAAGGCTTAACCCATTCTTCTGAGAGGTGCTATCATGTTTGGAAAGTTAAGATACCTGTCTGAAGCTGCACCATCAATTTCAGCAAAGTGAACTGCTTTGCCTTTCCTTGCTTTTTCCTTGAGTTCTACTGCAGGTATAAAACTGTAATAGAAATGAGAAAATTAGGAACGTAACCTTTCTCCAGGGAAAATTAATCACATCATGACCATAGCTTATGTAACCTTAGGACTAGGATACATTATGGGAGGAGCCTAAAGAGAATCTGAGACACAGCGTTATCAACTTATGTATTTGCATCCAGAACAACCATCTATAAAAGGACTAAAATTTCAGGTTTTACACTCAGCCTCTCCATACAGGCAGCCTCCAGACTACCATCATACACAAAACATTTCCATCCGAAAATGTTGTAGCAACTTCCTAAGAAACAAACCTCATGATAAGATTGGAAGAAATTTTTGATTTATTGAGTACCTTTTCTCAGTCCCATCCCTATAACTTCTTGCCTTATCAATTTGCCTGAGATAATTTGAGGCTAGAGTGCCCTAAAATAAGAAATTTGAAAGAATACATTTGGGACTATCATGTTGATCAGGTCTATGAACTAAGTCAAATGAACAGAGAACTCTAAAATCAAAATTTTGGGGTTAGAGGACATCTAAAAGATCACCTAGTACGTGGTTGTCACTTTACTGATGGAGAGAACAAAGGCTTAGAGAAGTTGACTCATGTCTCATGGTTTGAAATCTGTGACAGGCAGTGCCTGCCCTTAGCCAATAGTCTGGCATTTACTGCTAAACCTCTAGTTCTTATTCACTACCCTCTGGATATGCCTTTCCTACTTCACACTTGTCCAAGTGGCTTTTCACTTGACCAAAGTCATTCTTTAACCCTCTGGTGAGACGGGTTTCTTTGTGAGTGCCCTGCCATAGCCCTGGAGGCAACCTACACTCTCAGCGCACTTGGCTGCAGTCACTAAAAACATCACTAGTAATGACTGAAAACTGTCCTTTGAAAACTGCACCTCGGGTCGGCTCCCCAACCCCAGCCCGAGCTAGTTCTGTACTCTCCTGCAGCCTCCACAGCCTCCACGCCCCTCAATCCTTCTTCCTTCTTTTCTCTTCCATCTCTTCTTTCTCCCAAAACAAACACACACTTTTCCTACTACAAAACCAACAAAAATCTCCTTTCCTTAGTACTGGACTCCCCAAAGATTACCATCTCTTTCTTTCCTTTTTCACTGGTAAATTTACTTACAGGAGTACTCTATTTTTGCTAGTTTCTCATCTTTATCTCAGATTTCCTCCTCATCTAATTTCTCTCCTTATCTAGTTTCCACCTACTGTCCCCCTGAAACTGCTGCCCACCTGGGCCCTTAGCAATCCCTAACTTGTTAAATTCTAAGAAAGTCCTGTTTTTAGTATTTACCCCACCCTGAGCTCTCTTTAGCATATACTACTGCAGATCACTCTCCATTCCAATCCATCTTCTTAGAATTTTTTTTTTTTTTTTGGCCTTTGAAGGTCCGTGTGTCTCGGGGTTTTTCCTTTGAGCCTTCTAATCATTCTTCCTCTTTGGCTAGCTCTAGAAGGAGTCTTTGACTCTCCATTCTCCAGCAAGCCATCTGCCCCTTGGTTTGCTGCATAATTGTCTTGTCTCCCTAGTTCTAATACCACCCCTCTTGGCTAATGCGGGGGAAGGCTTTCTAGAGCAGAGATGCAGTGTTGTCTCATATGCTTAGTAAAGGCTTGTGGAGCAGAACCAAACAGAACTAGGTCTGAGAGCAGTGACCAAACGCCGGGCCTTCTGCCTCTGTGGCACCCACCTTTACCACTGTCGCCTCTCAACCTCTCTGCCTCTGCCCTGTCTCATTATACATTGAGGTAGCATAAGCCTCTGCAGCACTGTCTCTGAAAAAAAGAGCATGTTCCAGCTCATAAGTCCTCTCTACAAACCTACACTTTAATTTGTGATGGGATATGCTTAGACTGTAAAAGAGAATCAGTACCTATATTTCCATCAAATCCAAACACTAACTCTGACATAAAACACACAAAGTTCGGCTTTCCTCTTCCTTAGCTTGTCCCTAGCAGCTGGACCCCCAAGGTAATTGTGGTACTCTGACCTTTGCTCCATTGAGCTACTTTAACACAAAGCAGCCCCACCACAAAAGAACTGCCCCACCCCATCTATTCTGCATGGTATTCCTTTCCCCATCACTCCTAACTGCCCCCAATTTGTATATACCACAGAGTCTGGAGTTTGGGTTTGTTTGGTTTTTTAATTTTAAAATTGGAAGTATAACTTACAGGTAGTAAAGCAGATAACTCTTAAATAGACAGCTTGATGAATTTTACACTGTGTATATATGTCCATATAACCACCACCCAGATAACAATACAGTCCATTTCCAGAATCTCAGAAGATTCTCTTGTACCTTCTTCCAGCCCTTACCAGTTGATAAATCCCTAAAGCTGACCATTGTTCTGACCTCTATCATCACACCTGTTATTTTTAAACTCATATATAAAGAGAATCATACAGTATTTACATTTTTGTGTCTAGTCTTTTTTTTTTCAACATTATGCCAACTTTACCTTTTAAATCAATCATCCTGTGTATATTCTCCAAAATTAGTGGAAAGCAATCAAGATATTTTCAAAGAATAATTTGGTAATAAACCAAAAGAAACTATAGTTTATGAGTATGAATATTTTATTAATAAGAAAGTCAGTATAAAATTGATATCTGTGAATTATTAGTAGGCTTATATAGGAAATAGTGCCACTTGTGGTGGGTTATTATTAGATTAGTATTGAAAATTAGTTTGAAAAATTCTACAAATTAAGTTACTTTACAAAGAAGGCAAGTAAAAAACTTGGTTCAGTTTTCATTAAAGATTGAAATGACCTTTAAATATATATGAAGATTTAAGAAAATGTTGGCCCTTAAGACTTTATTTCTATATGTTCTTGTGCTTTAAAATGAATTTTGTCTGTCTAATCCCAAAGCTATCTTGCTGTCCTTCTCACTGTCTACCTTACACTCACTGAGTGTGATCTTTCAGGAGCTACTCAACAGAATTTTCTGTTACATATCTGAGAATAAAAACTGAAATCACTGCTTTGGAAATGACAGATCTCTCAAATACTGAAATAAATACTCTATGAAATATAAACTTTTGATTATGACTCTAATGTACTATTTAGCCTTTAAATTATTGATATTTAATTGACATTAAATATAATGTAACTATAAATTACATCTGCTTAGCCAACTCCTTTCCTGGCCTCCAGACCCATTTGTCCAACTGTCTAAAAGACATATCCATGTGAACATGTAATGGGATCCTTAAACACATCACCAGTTTTGCCTTTTTTTTTTCTGTATATGGTGAAGGGCTATCGTCATCCAAACCAGATACACAGGGGTCAACCTAAACACCTGCTTCACACCCAGGCACCACATTCTATCAATTCTATCCAAACATCCTGTCAATTCAATCTTTTAAATATTTCTTAGTCTTGTACCCTTCTCTCTGTTGCTACCAATTTGGACTTGGTCCTGACTCTGTTTTTTTCACCTGTGTAACTATTTGTACTCCTCCTACGACTAACCTGCTAATTAGCCCCCTGCTTCTAGTCTTTCTGTGCTTAAATCTAGTTGGTTGACTGAACAATAAACATTTGGTGAATGTGTACTTTAAAGTTCTGTAGATGGCTCCAGAGTCAGGAATATGAGTAAGATCGTTCCTGCCACTGAAGAGGCTTACATTGGTGGGATTTCAGTGAATATTTATTTTGTTCTCTACACCCTTTGTATTGCTTTAATTTTTTTTTACCACAAACACATGTACTTTTTATAAAAGCTATAACAAATTTTTATTAAAATTTACCTTCTGAATTCAAGAGTTTTGGTTTCATCTTTCCAGTACCACGTGCCTACTCGTAATCCCAACTGCTGTAAAATAAAATGATTGCAGCAAAAATAATTAAAAGTTCAATTTACAATCCACCTGCTACAATAAACATTTAACAATAATTCCCACTAGTTACTCTTTATTCCATAAAGATGTAGACTCTTACAGTATGTTCTTCTTTTAATCTGAAGCTGGATTTTCTCCTTTTCTATGGTTTTAGGTGTGGTTTCAGTAGAAAGGAAGCAAGGGAAGTTACAAAATTTAGCCTGCACTATCTCAAAGCCCATCATAGCAATTGACGAATTAACTGGGGCTCAAACCACAACAAACGATGCCCCGGGCAGCCTTGACCAAGTAGAGGAGTTAGACACTCACCATGGGAGCCTGCTCTAACACTGACCGCCCTTCCGAGGAAGTCAGCAAAGAACAGGTAGCAAAGTGTACCCCCTGCTCTTTGCTACCGACCCACCAGCCTTTTCTCTCCGGAATCGGTCCCGGAGCCGGACTGCTTCCCCCGCGGGAGGGCTCTTTATTTCGGAGGTGGTGAAGTGGAACATCCATCAACACCTAAATATCCGCGCAGGGAGCCAGAATCCTTCTGGCCTTTGCCGAATACACTTCCACGGTTTTGTTTTCGCAGGCACTGAACCCCGGCTCTGTGAGTCCGCTCACCCGGACCGAGGCAGCGGTGGCTCAGCAGGGGAAGAGCGCAGAGGGGAACCGGGCGTCCGGGCGCCGCGGGCCGGGCCAGGGCAGCACGGTGGCCTCCCACCCACCGCCAGGCTTGGGGCGACTCTAGCTGCACTTACTCCTGCCAGGGAGCCCCCTGCGCTGCCAAAGGCCTCCTCCTCAGAAAATTCTCGCGCACCTGATACATGGCCTCACTTAATCCGCCTCACCGCATAGCCTAGGCAACCAGCCACCCGCACGGCGAAACCGCCCCAAGGACTAGCGGGCGCGGGGCGTGTCCTTCTTGCGCCGGGAGCCGGCAGGCGGGCGCGGCTGATGCAGATCCGGGGGGGCGCCAGGGCACCAGTGTTCTACGGGCCACCTAGCGACAGCCTTTGCTGTGGTGGCTAATTCGAGTATCCACAGCAAAGCTGCCCGAGGGTGGGGGTGGGAGTTGGGAGTGTATTCCATGGAGAATTGACTGCTTCACTGTACTGTTCTGTGTTTAATCGGAATAACTAGGTTCACGTCCACAGGAAAATTCGCTTTGTTCCCGGTGGGACTAGGTTGATTGGGGTGGGGCAGGGTTGGGCAGAGAGTAGGCGAGGAAGCTTGGAATTAGGGTTTTCAAATCTTTGTTCTGCATAACAAGGTGACACCAAATCAGGAGTTATGAGGATTTTTAAGGAGCAATATGTGTAAACCACCACCCTTTATAAGTACTCAAAATTAGTGTTGCTTAAAGCAAAGAAGCTTGCTTTGTGTCAATGGGTATTCAACTGATATTTTTACCTTTACACTTCACTTTTCAAATCATGTTGTAATTTCTTCTTGCAACTGCGCTGATATGCAGATTAGAGTTCTTTCCTTCCAACGCTGATGTAAGCATGCTAGGTGACACAACCTGATTGGGACTGCCCCATATATTTTGTTCTATCCCCATATAAGAGATGCTTAGTAAATAGTTGATTATATACCCCCATAAACTTTAAAACTATGGCAATAGACATTCCCACTACCTCCACCCTCTCATTCTCACTATTTGATAAGACAATCAGTGGTTACAGCGATACAAAATTGTAATTACTTAGATTTATGTTCTGTTCACTTGTGTTCATTGCTGGTAGCTGTTCCCGTTGGCTCAAGATGTATAAAAACCCACCTACCTCTATACTTGCAGTGCTGCTGTGAGGCTGTATGGCCTCAAGACTGGCTTATTACAAGATGACTCATTTAAAAGGAGAAAGATTATTCCAGTCATGAAGAGTTTTTCACCAAACAGTGTATATAACTTAGGGTGGGCAGGACAGGGAGAAATAAGTTGAAGCTCCAGAAAAGCCTGAGAATTAATAAGCTATAGAAACAGAAAAACCTGGGATCTATTTACCTGACAACCATTATCAGGAAGACCACATTGGATGTCAACTTCCAATTTATCCCAATGAGTGAAGAACAGCATAGATCTTTTACACCTCACCATAGTCTAACTTCAGGCTATCTAATGTATAAAACTAAGGTAAAAATAAGAGCTGAGAATCCCAAACAATGACCTACATAAATGTTACATGACAAGTTATTTCACAGGTGCTGGAGGGACACAGTATTTAAAGAAACACTTCTATAGTTCAGAATGACCACCTCATACTTCTGTATTACTAAATCTTAACATAAGGAAGAAAAGATTGTTTTTATTGCTTCAAATCATTATTTTAAAAGTGACCCATTCATTTCTTCGGTTAGATTTTGCACCAAATAGGGTTTTCTTTTTAATGACATTAGAAGTTCACAACCTAAAATGGAATTTTCCTTTTAGAAAAAAAAAATCATAACATTATAAAGTAGGGGTAAAGGTACTACCTAAATATTTAATAATTCCAAGTGTCCTGTGAAGGAAAAGTTTTATTGGGAGTTTTTTCACCCCCCCCCAATTAAAAGAAACTTCTCAAGGTCACATAACTAAGAACATATAAAACTAAGCTGCTGGTCTCGGATTGTAGGCATAAGACATTAACTGAATTATAATGCATACTTATACTGTTACTGGACAGGAGACCCAGCCCTGAGCAGGTCTGCCTAGGTCTAGCCAATAGTGATGAGTTCTTGACTTTGTGCAGGAAAGATTTCACAACAGGAGCCAAGGTGATTGAGAATAGGTTTATTAAAGTTGAGGTCAGTGAAACAAGGGCTTAGTATAGAACAAGCAAAAGGAGAGACCTAGGCTTGCTGCTTTTGTTCTCTCAAAATATTCTAGGAAAGAAATGAGCAGAGGTGGAACTGCTTTCACTCACTGTGAAGTCAAAGAAAAGGAGGCATTGGAGACAGGTTCAAGGGGTTAGCCCGGTACAGGGTGAGCTGCCACTGCCCATTGCAAGTCTCTCTCATGGGGATCCTTAGAATTTGGGAGATGCGTGCTTGTAGGGGAAGAGGAAGGATGAGGAAAAGAAAGGTGTAGGCATGCTCCCCAGAGGGAGAGAGCATGCTGGGTCATTGTCTTAGGAGTTTTCTCTCTTGCAGGCAGGAGTTTTAGGAGAGGTTTCAGGGGTGGGTTTCAGCAGAATATTCATCAGTTTTCCAGTTGTGCCCTTTCAGGGTCATGGTCTCTCCTGATTGGTCAGTGCCAGGGAGGGGTCATTAGTCATTGCAGCTGGTACTGGAATTGCCCTTCTGGTTTTGTCTCTTCTCTGGGCCTGGAGCTGAAATACAACTGAGCCCTAGATATTATCTCCAGGGAGGTGACCTTCTGCATCTGGCCATAAATTGCTTGGCCAGTTTGTTCAGTCATCAGTCTCAGTTTCCCCATTCTACTTGCCAAGGAATTTTCCTAGCGTCTTACTCTCTTGCCTCAATATCATGAAAAAGTCATAATGAACAGGTTTTCATAGTGTTATAATTCTACCTTTGAAAAATTAACATGTAAGGACATGGCAATGACCATATTTGATTTAGTAACTCCATTTTTGGTTGCTTATTTCCCTGATCTTAAATTCACAAACGACCTAACAATTTATTCTGAAAGTGGTGGAGAAAAGAGCCTATGGCTTCTTGATTTGTTCTGTTGGTAAAAGAAAGACATTTCTACAATAAATATCACCCTATTAAACTTCAGAAATGCATATATCCATTCCAAGAGCTATATCAAAAATAAACACTGGACTCTTTTCCCAAAGATCCTTACTTTTTCTTCAAGGAATGAAATTCTCTATCTAATTTTAATGCCTAAGGGTAGTCCTTCAAAACGGTTGTCTGATACCTATTTAAAAATTAACTATACAGAAGCAATTGAATATTCCTGTGTTCCTTAACCTAAAAATTCTATATAATATATTAATATATATATTTTTAGCAATTGTCTTATAATATATGGATTTGAGATTCTTTAAAACTTTAATTGCAGTGTTCAAGGAAGAGGAAAATGCCTCACAACTTTTATAAACTACATTCTATTTAAAATAGGTGAAGGCCTTATCATGGGCCTACTACTTGAACTTCATATAAAGAAATCTTTTGATTTTATTTAAATAACTAGGTTGTATTCCTACTTAAGATTATATATAGGATAAAGAAATTCTCCTTTAGTCTCCCTGACACAGTAATTAGATGATTCATTAAATATCCTATTATACATGTTAAGTTTAAATATGTAGTATTAATATCTCCTAATGTATAAGTTTTCATGAATTTCCATTATACATATCAAATTTATACTATAAACAAATTTAGAGTGAGCTTGTTTTGAAATGCCACACATCTCAAATACTGTAAACATTCTATTATGTCTTATTTGAACAGGTATCTGGTGTTATTGCCTCAAAACAAGGACAACTATGTGAATTAGACATTCTGGTAAGCAGAATTTAAGTGTCTATTCTGAGAAACGTATTTTTTAATCCCTTAGTATTCAACATGTATTGTATTTGCTTTAGTAATAAATGACCACTAGTCTCTAACATAATTCACTACCTTAAAGTTCAACTGATGCTTAATTAATTCTTAAACTGTAATTTAGCCTTGTCCTAACATAAAGTACTTTTTCCATTGTCATTTGACTATAGCTGATCTAACATTTGCTAAGGAGTTCCCAGGGGTTATTGGGTTACTAGTTTCAACTGACCCCTGGAAACATTGAATGGCTGCTTTGGTGGCTTTATCTTAATAATATTCAGATCTAGATAAATTTGAGAAGACAGAATTAAATAAAAAAACACTCAAGAAGGCTAAGAGTTTCACAAATTACTTTTCAAAATAATAGAAAATAAGTATCTACATAGGTTAAAATTAGTGTTATAGCCAGTTACCAGAGGCCTGGGCACAGGATTAAAGAGACTACATCTGGTCATTTTTCTGATACGTTAGAAACTAATATCTACTAAAGTGAGGTCTAAAATGAGTCATACTAATACCAAATTACACTTACAGAAAGACTCCATTACATTTTGAAGTTAGGGCAAGGGATAAACACTTTCAACAAATAAAGAACTAATAGAAGTTTAATAGCATGTGTATTATCTTGGTAAAAGGTAATGCTCAAAGTCACTCTAAGGCTACTCAGGACCTGTTTTCTTAATAACTAGGTAGTTTGTCAAATATTTATGTAGTATTATCTGCAGTCAATGAAACACCATAATATCTCCTCACTGAAATCTTTCCACCAGCTTGGCACCAGCACTGAAAACCCCAAGTTATCTTCAGCTTTTCAGTGTAATTTTTGAAAGTTTACTTTGAAGCAATTTCACAATTGCTTTTTTATCTTCAGCCCCTGCCCAAATGAGACCTGCTTGGAGCTTGGGGGCAGGCGGGGGCCGGGGAGCAGTCTATGTACATGAGTCATCTCTTGTGTGAGGGTCACTATCAAAGCCCAATTTTAGGCTAATTTGTTCCCTAGTTTTAATTCTCTCTGCATGATAAAGAACGGTCCACTACTAAATTAAAAATATAGTTTCTATAATTCACTGTTATCTTATGAACATGAAGCAAATCTACATCACTTGGAAAGAGATATCAAAATGTATATGTATGGTGAAAACATTAGGTTAACTATGCATTTTCCAATCAGCTTTACAGAATTTCTCCCAAGTTCCCCTTAAAGAGAATAAATCAGAATAAAGCCGAAGTGTAATTCCACAAAAAATAAACATGAACACTCCTTCTCTCAAGGATGTGGATTTTAAAGCCCAGGATAGTGGATTCCCAAGGGTTGTGATATTCATATCAAATCAAATATACAGGAAAATGGACAAGTTGTATATTAACAAAATACAGAACTATGTTGCATTTTGCCTTTAAAAAGGAAATCTATTCTAGTGATTTAAGGCAGGTATTGCAAAATCATAATGATTCTTAAATCAGGGTGGGGGGGGAATCTACATTATCTCCTTCTACCCCCCTAGATATTGTACCTGCTGGAAACACATCCTTGTGGAATTCGCCTTAAGCTCAGAAGTTGAGCTGTTTTTTTTTTCACTAGAAAGTTAAAACAAGTTTGACTAAATTTGGATTCACAATTAAGTGGCTTTAAAGTTTGCCTACTGGCTCTTGTTTCAGGCATTTGTATGTCACAGAAAGCAATTTGTTTCTTACTACTTTGGGTTATTATCAGAAGACAACTCCTGCCCCAGCTTTTGTTAATTTAAAGGATCATTTTACACTTAACCACAGAATATAGCTTGCATTTTAATGGAATATTCAGGTGGATTTTCACTTGAACACTTAAGTCAAGCCTTAGGAATATGGGTACACTGGAAGATCCCAGTCTGGTTTCTGTGTTCAAGGAGAGGGGGCAGTTTACCCAGATCTTCTCCAACTAAGCTGTAGGTAATTCAAAGCAGGAACCTCATCTGAGAATTAGACAAGATTGCATTAGATAAATTTCACCTCATACTAATATCTTAAAGATCAACATGGGTAAAACAGTACAAAGGGAAAATTGAAAACTCCAAGACAGCAATTTTGAGATCAATTCCAGCTTTACTTTAAATTTGTATTTATGCAATTGTGTGCAAAAAGAATGCTTATTCTCTTGACTTTACTGCAATATTGACTTTCCTCCTTAGCACATAAAAATAAACAACCAAGTTTCTATATATTGTTACCAAGCTTCCATAGAACATGTGCACAAACTTCAGGTTTCCCATCTAAACTAAGTTACTCAAGTCAGCAAACAAGCAAAATGCATTTAAAAGAAACCTCAAATAATGTTTTTAAAACTCAAACTTTAGAACTAACCTTTTCTAATTAAACTAAGTTGTTGCTCCTTTCCTTTCCTATGTTTACACCCAGCTAAAGACTTCCAAAAATAGATCTCTACTTGGCACAAGGACATTTCAAAGAAGAAACAAAAACAAAGGGGGAAAAATAAAGAGGGGGAAGAGAAGGTATAAGGGAGCTAAATGGTAATGGGGAAAAAATACAATAAAGATTAAGTTAAAATAATAAAAAAGAAAGAAAGGAAAAGAGGTTTACGCTGACTGCAGTGCAAGCTTAGTCCACTTCCTCGATGGTGGGTCCCCCGGAGGCTCCAGACCCGCCGCCGCCGCCAGGGCCGCCTTGGTAAAGTTTGCTGATGATGGGGTTGCACACTCTTTCCAGCTCTTTCTGCTTGTGTTCGAACTCATCTTTCTCTGCCATCTGGTTTCGGTCGAGCCAATTGATCACCTCTTGACACTTGTCGAGGATCTTGTTTTTGTCCTGTTCGCTAATCTTGCCCCGCAGCTTCTCGTCTTCCACCGTCTGCTTGATGTTGTAGGTATAGGACTCCACCGCGTTTTTGGCGGCGACACGGTCGCGATTGGCTTCATCTTCCGATTTGTACCTCTCCGCTTCCTGCACCATCCGGTCAATATCGTCCTTGCTCAGACGACCCTTGTCGTTGGTGATGGTGATTTTGTTTTCTTTACCGGTGCTCTTGTCGGCGGCGGTGACGTTGAGGATGCCGTTGGCATCGATATCGAAGGTGACCTCAATCTGGGGGACGCCGCGGGGCGCGGGGGGAATCCCGGTCAGGTCGAACTTGCCCAGCAGGTTATTGTCCTTGGTCATGGCCCGTTCGCCCTCGTACACCTGCACCAGCACGCTGCTCTGGTTGTCTGAGTAGGTGGTGAAGGTCTGCGTCTGCTTGGTGGGGATTGTGGTGTTCCTCTTGATGAGTGGGGTCATGACACCGCCAGCCGTCTCGATACCCAGCGACAACGGGGTCACGTCGAGTAGCAGCAGGTCCTGCACGTTCTCTGACTTGTCTCCGATGAGGATAGCTGCCTGCACCGCTGCTCCGTAGGCCACGGCTTCATCGGGATTGATGCTTTTGTTCAGCTCTTTGCCGTTGAAGAAATCCTGCAGCAGCTTCTGGATCTTGGGGATGCGGGTAGAGCCACCAACCAGCACGATCTCCTGGATCTGGCCCTTGTCCAGCTTGGCGTCGCGCAGCGCCTTCTCCACAGGCTCCAGGGTCCCGCGGAACAGGTCAGCGTTGAGCTCCTCGAAGCGGGCGCGGGTGATTGACGTGTAAAAGTCCACACCTTCGTAGAGCGAGTCGATCTCGATGCTAGCCTGTGTGGAGGAGCTGAGGGTGCGCTTGGCGCGCTCACAGGCGGTGCGGAGCCGCCGCACTGCGCGCTTGTTGGGCGCAATGTCCTTCTTGTGCTTGCGTTTGAACTCTTCAGCCAGGTGGCTCACCATGCGGTTATCGAAGTCCTCGCCGCCCAGGTGAGTGTCGCCGGCCGTGGATTTCACCTCGAAGATGCCGTCCTCAATGGTCAGGATGGACACGTCGAAGGTGCCGCCGCCCAGGTCAAAGATAAGCACGTTCTTTTCGCCTCCTGCACTGCCTTTCTTGTCCAGGCCGTAGGCAATGGCCGCCGCTGTGGGCTCGTTGATGATGCGCAGCACGTTGAGACCCGTGATGGTGCCTGCGTCCTTGGTGGCCTGGCGCTGTGAGTCGTTGAAATAGGCCGGGACGGTAATGACCGCGCTCTGCACCTTGCCCCCCAGGTAGGCTTCGGCGATCTCCTTCATCTTAGTGAGGACCATGGAAGAGATCTCCTCTGGGAAGAAGGTCTTGATCTCTCCCTTGTACTCCACCTGCACTTTGGGCTTCCCTCCCTCGCTCACCACCCGGAACGGCCAGTGTTTCATGTCCGACTGCACTGTGGCGTCCTCGAACTTCCGTCCAATCAGCCTCTTGGCGTCGAAGATGGTGTTGGTGGGGTTCATAGCCACCTGGTTCTTGGCGGCGTCGCCAATGAGGCGCTCGGTGTCGGTGAAGGCCACGTAGCTGGGAGTGGTGCGGTTGCCCTGGTCGTTGGCGATAATCTCCACTTTGCCATGTTGGAAGACCCCCACGCAAGAATAAGTGGTGCCCAGGTCGATGCCGATAGCCGGGCCGCGGGCAGACATCCTGACTGAAAGATAGGCAAGCGACGTTAGACGAGAACACCAGGGACAGAAAATCCGCGGCGTCAACTAACGGTCGCCTTACACCTGATACCACGAGCGCAAACAGTGTCTCCAGCTCCCGGGGGCTTGGCTCCTCGCTCTTATAGCCACCTCCCCGCAGCCCTGTGGAAACTCCTAGAGCCAATCCGCTCTCAGGACCGCCCGCCAAGGCTTGCTTTTTGTTAGAGTGACCCGCCCGTAGCCCAATAGATTTTTAAGTTGAGTGAGGGGCGGGACCCCGGTCCGCGAGAAGAGGAGAGGGGCGGCCGTTATGTAAATGTCCCCTCCCACTCTCCTAGCGGCGGGGTCCGCGGTTCCCCACTAGCCGCCTGCAGTTTGGGGGCGTTAGGCTCGTGCACTCCCGGGCGCCCTCCAGATGTAAGCGCTTTTTCTCGATCTTCGCCTTCCGTAAGGCTGGATTCGCCGACATCCATTGGATTGGCGGGGCACGCGGCCAATGAGCAGGGCGTACTTCCAAGTGAAGGAAAGGCTAGGGCGTGGTGGGGACGGAGGCGCAGCGCTGACTGGGAGTCGGGAGAAGGGACTGCTCTTTCAGTTCCTAGGCCTTCAGTGTGCAATTCGGTGCCAAGAGTATCGACTAACCTAGCACGCGGGGCAGGCCAATTCGTTGAGTTGGTTGCACCGAGGAAACAGGGCCAGAACCTGCTTTTTTAACTTGGGCATTGAATTCGCGTGGCATTGAATCGGCATGAGGGCCGCTCCCCTGATGCACGGGACAAAAATAAAATGATACTGAAGTTCCGGGATCCAGCTGTCAGCCTTACGGAATTTTACTTTGCGTACTTCGCAGCGTCTCAGTGGGTGTGACCGCTCGGTATAAACTGTCTGGCGGCGAGGGGCGGGGGGCGGCGAGGGCGGGGGGCGGGGGAGGCTCTGAGGAGGTGGAGGAAAGGGTGGAGAGGCCGACCTCTTTCACTCGCCGCGCGCTGGCGGCCTGCAGAATGGGAGACTGTGGAGTGGCTGCAATTGGTCTTCCCAGCATTTAAACTTTCTCTACCACACTCCATTTTTCCTGCTTGTCCTACCACTTTAAGCTTTCTGATTTCGTCTCCCTGTTGTTCTCGCCATTGTTTTCCTTATTTTGGATTTCAAGGGCTTTTCCCTCCGCTTTGAGTCATTCACAGGAAAATCTATAATCAAACCCTCATGTTGAAGCACCATGAAATACCCCAGTCTCCCTCCCAGCCCGATTCTCTCATCCCCAGCGTAATGAAGCTTCATTAAAGACGTAAACCCTCAGAGAATGTAGGTGAAAAAGAGAACAATTCATTTTGTAAGAGGAATGTGAGAATAGGTTTGGAATTACAGTCTGGCACCAGGTGATGAGGTAGAAGCAGACTACTATAAATGGGCTCTTGAAAGAAAACTGTTACGAAATCTCTGGGCTAACACTTCACATTTGGTGGTGGAGCGCGGGGGGAGGGGGAGCGGGTAAACTGTAGACATTAACTCAATAAGCTTTGACGGGTACCCACTATATAAGGGTAGAAAGACAAGTAAGATAGTCTGTCTTTATGAGGTCGAGAGTCTAATAAAGAGGTAAACATAATTCGAGAGAAGTGCTACGGGAACACAAAGGAGAGGCATATCCAGACAGGGAAGTGTGTTGGTGAGGGCTTCCTGGAAGAGGTGACTTGCCTGAGGAAGGCGCTGAAGTTGCCAGCAAAGAGGAGAGGAGAGGCATTCATTGTGTGCATTGTAATAGCTTGGGCTAAGATGAGACCGGTGTCCTGGGGCAACTACAAGGTCTGTACAGGTTAATGTCCTACAAGGGCAGGGGTACAAGCAAGAAATAGTGTCTTCCGGTGGACAGGATACATTTAAGAGCTTTATGTGCCATGATTTTTCCCCCCTTGGGGCTATGGGAGGGGGGAACCATCCCTTGAAAGAAGGTAGTAATGGATAGACCATATCGAATTTGTTTGAGACAGTGCTGGGCAAAGTTTTTGTCTGAGAAACAAATAATATGTAACCAAGAAGTAACGTTGCTAGAACCCTATAAAGTCTATCAATGAACATGTTTCTTTTCTCTAGTTATGTATGTAATTTGCAATCTTTAAAAACACATATACTATTAATTTGTTAATCTCGTTAGTCAAATACTACTGGTTTTAACCACAATTCCCATCTCCTTTTCCATGAAAGAAATTAAAGAAAAAATTTGAACTAGGAAACTTTTTAAAGAAAATATTGGGAAAACAAAGATAAAACCGAAAGTTTTCTATTGATGCTGCCTTAAATTGTTAGTACATATGTCTTTGTTTTATTATAGTAAATCGATGTCTTCTATGTAGTTAAAAAAAAAAAAAGGCAGGGGAGAGGGTGAATTAGAGGACTGGAGAGCAATCCAAATTCCTTGTAGAACTGATAATATGATGTGATTTAAAGACAGGGTACCAGCTACAACTAAAATCAGAAAGAACTGTAAGAAACACAAACTCTTCAAATCTCTTGTATTGAGACAGCCCTCACACATTTACCTCAAACAAAGCAAGACTGCAGAAATCAAATATGCCAGTTCTTATACACAAATACTAAAATTAGAACTTCAGAAGGGAGAGTTTCTTAGTAACTTGTGTATTACCTCTATGTACAGTTACTACAAACTTCTCTTGCAATCTAACCACCACATTCATCTTTAACACAGCTTTGAAACTGCAGTAGCAATTTATCTGCATTTTTATTAGCTATATATATATTTTTCTGCTCTAACTTGTCACCTAGTACATTGGTTTCATACTTTTGATGGCATCCTGAGCTTTTCCCAAAAAAAAGACAAAATATTTTCATTTTGATTTCATATGAAACAAACTTCTGCAGTCCTAGGACATTATCATACACTGAGCATTCTTCTAATTTTTACATTGTTCCTTATCTGTATTGATATTTGTAATCTTATTTTTTTATGATGGCTCAGAGTTAAAAAATATAGCCCATTAAATGATCAAATTAGCAAATTTATAATCAAATAATATTCATCAATGCCAGCAATGGTGCAGCAAACAAGTAAACTCTACTAGTGGAAATGTAAATTAGTACAATCTTTCTGGAAGATAATGTGACAATATTTTTTTCTTTACCTTAAATACGATCATACCCTTCATTTAGCATTACCCTGTGGGATTCATCCCAAGGAAATAATAGAACATGCAGGTAGTATTATTTTGATAATAAAAACATGAAAAAAGAAATGACAAATATCTGACAATAAGGAAATGATTACATCAATTATAGTACATCCATATGATGAATTATTATATAGCCATAAAAATTGTTTACAAGAATGTTAATGACAGAAAAATGTTATCGATATAATTAAGGGGGAAATAAGATACAAGGCTTTTATAACTTCTTACTCTATATGTGGGATAATCATATATATCAGAAATACATCAAAATTGGTTATCACTAGGTAGTAGGATTAATTGTAATTTTTCTAAATGTCCTTATTATATATATAATTTTACAATTGATTTTTAAAACTTGATCATTAACATTCACTTGAAACAAGGTTCACTAATCCTACTACTTACATAGAAATTACTATTGATTTTCAACAGAGGAAAATCTGTTTGGCAGATTGTAAATACTAGGTGTTTCAACATATTTTTAAAATAAAGACTGAAGTTCCACACAGTCTGGAGAAACCAAGAGCTTTAACATATGTCAAAGCCTCTCTAATTAATCCCCAACACCCAGAAGAGTACCTGGAACACAGTAGTGATTCACGAGCTCAATGTTTATTAAAAGTGACCTGAGGCACATTATTTATCCAAATATATTGAATGACTATTTTTTTCCTGTATTAAGAGTAAGATTCTCTGCCTACCTCTTATATTTCTGTACTAGCACTGCAGATATCAAAAACTGAAACAAATTCACGTCTGAAAATCCTTGTACTAGAGATACTACAATGGATACAATGAGGTCTAAAACTATATGCATCGACAGTCAGGCCTGCCTAAGGAGACTGACTGAGCAAGAATAAACTTCCCAAATTCCTAGGAGGAAAAAAATTATGGATTTTCTGTAACCCTCTCAATCCGTACCTAGGTATAACCTTCATAAAGTTTTATAGGTTGTTTTGAGGAGGTATTGTTGACCTGAGGAGAAGGTGGAGGAAGTAGCAGTCTATAATTTGAGGACCTATGAGCAAACTGGAGTCAAACTAGTAATTATATTTAAGCTCCCTGTAAATACCATCATTTTATAATTATTTGGAAGTAACCTTTTGCAAAATATTTATAGTCACCTCTTAATATGGGAAAAATTTCACCATTTGCTTGAGTCTTGGAAAACTGTCTTTAAAAGTTACAATTAAACTATAGATAGACAGCATCCTGATGGACTCTGCCCTGCCTGGCCTGGAAGGCTGTCAGGTCCAAACCTGGAAGAGAGGCTTTTCCAGAAAAGAAGTAAATCTGTGACCACAGCAGACAAATTGTACCTACTCAGTTTTGGAGAGTGCTAACTTGGAGGATAGATTCTTATGGAATAGTCTAAAATACCTGGAAGAAGTGAGGCTATTGTATACATGAAGAGTCAGACTCAGTATGCCATTATTGTTAACACTTATTAAGTGAAATTAAATGAACTGATATTATGACAACCATCTTTCAGAACCGACCTGAAATGAAGAGAATGCTCATTGATGATCACTTAATTATTAGGCTCTATTACTGAAAGAAAACAAAGTGAATTATACTGGTTGCAGTTATTTCTATGAATAAATTGTTACTTTGAGAAATGAATTAACCAACCCTTGAAAGAGCTAAATACTGTGTCAGTGGATTTTTAGAAATGTTTTTTATATTATAAAGAAACCTAATTTGTTGCCATCTGTGTTTGCCATGAAATAGTAATTTTCCAGTAATTGTATATTAAAAGAAAATAGGATTTGGCAATAATAATTTAATTCTCTTTGTGTGCTTCTGAAGCTGCTCAGGAACACCATAATTAGCTACATCAGATACTTTATTATTTTGCTATTAGAAAATGGAAGAAATTGATAACTTTTTGGGCATATAAATTTTTTAAAAGAGCCAGGTTGAAATATAAAGTATAAATAAAAGTAATATACAGACAGTTTAACTTCTGAATATAGAGGAGGAATTTTATTAGGTAAAATCAATGGATTAAAAATGTAACAAAAGTTCTCTATGTGACCCAATAAACTCAATTTTATACTAATATACAGAAAACAATCACATTGTAGAAGGCATTTATATCACTTATTGTTCATTACATTTGTATTTTAGTACAGTCCATATTTAATTTCTTTTGTGAATCTAATTCCACCAATTAAAATTATTCTTTACTATATTGATCTGGCACCTTTAATTACTGATAATGTTCTTATATCTGTACCTATTTGTTAGAAATCTATAGTTCTTTAGGCTTCCTCATGCTCCCGAGATTAATTCTAGTTTTGTGTTTTTTTTTAAACTAACACTTTACTTTTCTAATTTGTTCTTTTTTTAAAGTAGTTGAATTCATATCAATTTGAAATTTTAGTGGATTTCTCTTTTCCCTTCTTGTCCACTATCACATTGTAATTAACTTTCTCTGATTTTTAAATAATACTTATTTTTAGAGAGGAGAAGAGAGAGAAAGAAACATGCATGTGCGAGAGAAACATTGATCCATTGCCTCTCACATGCCCGCAACGGGGGATCTGGCCTGTAACCCAGGCATGTACTTTGACAAGGAATCAAACCAGTGACCTTTCAGTTTGCAGGATGGAGCCACACCAGACAGAGCAACTTTCTCTAACTTTAGTTAATCTAATTATTAGAAAGGATCTTCACGTCATCCTATTTTATAACTAGAGATTTTAAATTTACTTAACGTCTGCAAATGCTATTATATATAGTCTAAGAGCTCTTTGTGCAACTCATTAAAATATCTGAATAGGCATAAAAATATAAACAATCCCAAAAATATGACATCTTGATATTGCACAATAAACAAAAATAATAACAATAATAATAATGAATTGGGTACCCAGTTAACGAAAAGTAAAACTACAAATATACTCACAATAAGGAAATAATATGACTAGAAGATTCATATAGTTAAGAAATGTGTTCTGAGCAAATGTATCAAGTTATTTGTAATCAGGCTAAATTTTCACCAAACACTTCATTCCCCATGAAAAGTCTTTAAAAATATGCTAACTGTTGTTTTATTCAATAGTTAGAATTTTATCTTGAAATATGAAAACTGAGAAACATTAATCCTGAGAATAAATGTTTAACAGAAACCCATTCTGTCCTATGAGTTCAAAAGAAAATAATGTGTCTTAAGATACACTCTTTTTGGTTGTCATTTGTGAAAATCTACCACTATTGACAAAATAATACCACTTTTGTTTTTCCTTCAACAGATTTAAAAGGGAGCTCCATTAATATAATCAAGTTTGTAACATATATATAAAGAAGAGCAAATGTAACATTACAGTAAGTATAACGAGATTATCTTGTTAAAATTTGGGTCTGTCTGTACCCATTTTTTATTTATGCTCTACACAGCTTTTGTTATATAATTTTTAAAATTGTCTAAATGCATTTCATAATATATAAACTGATTCAGATTGTTTAAAATTGTTTACACATTTATGTGATCATCTCTATTTATAGTAGCCTAGCAAGCCTTTTAGAAGGGGCTCTTGAAGATAATTAACATATAGTTTCATTTTAGTGTAGCTTTACCCACTGATGTCTTATGAATATTCTACTTTCCTTTAGCAGATTTTCCACAAAAACTAGGAAAGTCACCATGAATCAATTTTGTCACAACAAACTGATTTCAAAGTGATGTTTACTGAGTTTTCTTGGATGCTTGGAACTGGAACTTTTGGGGCTGATGAGGTTTGTCAGGAAGACAGAAAAGATGGTGTCACTTCAGATCTGATATTCCTGGGTCTGGACTTAAAGATTATCTGTTGAAGATTGATTCTTCCCCATGTCCTCTCCAAATTCAGATCTCACTTCTCCAGAGGTTTAGAAGGCCCTATTTCACCACTGCCACACAGAAAAAGACAAAACTCAAGAAAAATAATATTACAAGTTAACTGCCCTACAAGATACAACATAAGTCTTAGATCAGAATTTCATGGCTTTTGGCATCAGGCCAGCACACTATTAATAGAACAAGAATGAAAACAGAAGTGTAGTTCCTAGAACTTAAATTTATTTAATTTCTTCCCCAATGTAACTCATTATACCCTTTAAATATAAGGTGTTCTTATTACTCAAATAATTCTTCAACTGTAGGGGCGCTTTTTTTTTTTTGCCTTGCATGATCTAAGCCAGAATGGGTAGGGCATATAAATATGTAACATAAAAAAAAATAGGTCAGACAGGCAGACAAAAGTAGGGAGGGAAGAAGCATGTAAGTGTTTTCCTTCAAAGAAAAATAATTTTACAATGTTCCTTAACTTATTAATGGCAAATCTGGTTCAAACATATTACATAACAAATTTGAAAGTGAAACACCAAGTGGTTTTCTTCAAATGATAAATACTGTATACACTCTGCAAATGAAAATAAAACACACACAGTTTTCCTTCAAATTTCTAAATTCATTGCTCCCCTAACCTGGTCCCACGATTCTGGGTAGAATTCTTTTGCGCTTTGCCTTAATTTTTTTAAAAAACGGATTATCTCTTAAAATATCCACCCCCCACCCCCCTACCCCCCGCCAATCAGGGGACACATAAGCATTTGAATAAAGAGATGACTTCCATAATCTGTATGCGTAGAATTATTTCTCACCTAAAAATGAGCTCTGTTGATTCTAATTGGTATAAGCAATTGCTTTGAGTAGACTAAAAACAACATAGTAACTTTTAAAAGTTTTACTCGGGACTTCAAAGGCTGTCTACCTAACTCTATTCCTCTCTCAAATAGGTAAGGATAGAGGGTTATATAAATTTTCTCACACAAAATTAATATTCCTGACTCTGAAATAAAATCACATCCTTTACATTTTTTTGGCAATCTTTTGATCCTAGTTTCCTGTAATATCTTATTATAATGGCAATTAGTACATTGATACATTAAATTCAGAGCCAAATACTGAGTTATAATCTTCATAACCATGTTCGTTTGTAAGTAAACTAATGAAAAATTTTAAGTGTCCTGCCCCCTAGTGACCTATGGTGGATTTTGATGGAAAGGCTGAACAATTGTCATTGATGAATCTCAATGATTTTGTTCTCCTGCATATAATAAAGGAACAACTTAAATAGGATTTAAACTTAGTATTAAAGTCAAGTAAGCATGTGCATATGAATGTGTAGGTCATTTTAAATTGGTTTAAAATTAGCATGAATTTATAAGCTGCTATTGTCATCTGTATTTACCAACTTTCTAAATCGTTGTATTTTTTTGCCTCTTGCCAGAGTAATTTTGTAAGTAGCTAAATTTCATCTGGTTTTAATATGAGACTCTCCCCATGTACCAAGTAATTATGTCCGGGAGTTTGATATGCCATGAAAAGGGGCCACCTAAGTGATTATATTGACATTACTCATTCTTCTATTCTAAATTAATAAAATTTGGCAGATGACAGATTAAAATAGATTTAACATAGTACTAAAACGTATTGTATAGGCTGTAGAGATCAGGCAATAGATGCATGAAGTTAAAATTAGATTCAGATGGAAGCTTTCATTAATTCATTAAATAACTGTTAGTTTGCTGGTAGGTTAGGGTAGATATACAGCTGTTGTATCCTGAAATTATCTTTCTTTTATGAGTAAGACGTTTTGAAGATTTTTTTTTCAAAGATTTATTTACTTTTAGAGAGAGGGGGAGGGAGAAAGAGAGGGAGGGAGACATCAATGCGTGAGAGACATCTATCTGTTGCCTCTTGCACACCAACTGGGGACCTGGACTGCAACCTGGGCATACTGGGAACCAAACCAGCAACTTTTCAGTTCACAGGCTGCCACCCAGTCCACTGAGTCACACCAACCAGGGTTATTTATTTCTAGAGACAGGGGAAGGGAGAGACAGAAACATCCACGTGTGAGAGACACATAAATCAGTTGCCTCTCGTTCATTCCCAGCTGGGGACCTGGCCTGCAACCTAGGCATGTGCCCTGACAGGGAATTGAACAGTGACCTTTCAGTTTGCAGGACAATGCCCAACCCACTGAGCCACACCAGTCAGGGCACTAGTGAGACTTTTTCAGTTTACACTAAAAAGCCATAGTTTGTTTGTTTTTTGTAAATCACAAATGGCTAGAAAAAACTTGTTTTTAGTCAAATACTGATTGCTCTATAAACTTTATCAGGTCAATCACAATATTCCTATTAGGGATTTCATTGTTTTTTACAAAGAAGTGAAAAATTTTTTATCCACATCATCTGTGAAGACAAAAAGAGGAAATTGGTTATTCTAGGAGTCTGATTTTTCTTGGGAATATTTTCAAATGGCTAGAGTTACTCATCAGTCTGAAAACCAGTAAAAGGAAATGAGGATTGGTGGGAGAAAGTAAAACATAAGGCCAGGAATAAGGAAAAGAGAGAGAGAGAAGTTCACAGATGTAGAAATATGTAAGTTGAATTCAAATTAATTTTTAATTGAGGCCCAAAAGTAGCTGACAATATTACTAAAGGTTTTAAATTTAAATAAAGGAAAATGAAAACATGTCAGTATTTAATCTTTATTTCCAAAACAGCATTCTGAATGACCCATTCGAATAAGAAGTTTTGTTTTCAACTGATGTATTTTCCCCACTATTACCAGCTACCTTACCAGGCACCGCAGATGACAGGTGATGAACAAGAAGCACAGAGTCTCATAGGAGCTTTATCACATGTGTTCCTAGGCTGAAAAGGCCCTTCTTTGTACTTCTTGGTAGGTGGAGTATGTAGCTTAGTGGTTAAATACAGGAATGTAGAAATCAGATAGGTCTAGGTTCAAATTCCAGCTCAAGTATTAAGTTTCTGTGTGGTCTCAGGAAAAAATAGTCTCTCTGAACCTCAGTCCCCATCTGGAAAATCAGAATGATACTTACCTGGTAAAGCTGTGAGGATTAATTAAAATTACATTATGTAAATCATATAGCAGAGTAGGAAGAGCACTAACTAAATAGATGCGAGTATTACTAGTGAGAGTCATAGGATGGATGGATCACGGGTTTCCATCATGGTCTGCAGCTTCAACTTCTTCATACCAAATATAACTCTATTTGCTTCAGCTCCCTGGCATTCATCCTGTCACCCCCCGTTTACTGCACTTCAGGTATTAAGAAGATAGAAGACATTCCATAAGAATATGTTCCCAGAGGACTTTTCAGGACCCTGGAGTCCTAGGCCTTGGTAATGCTAGGGCGCCTGCAGAGTAGTAGCACTTATCACTGAGAAGCACTTGTTACATAGGAGATGGGGGTATTGAGGAAAAATGAAGAACTGATTAAAGCAGATTAATGGAAATAAAAGAATTTTAACTCATAAAACTCATTTAAAATTAATTAAAAAAACCCAAAATTCTTTATTCTCAACTATGTGTGCATGTACAGATACAGGTTATTTTTCTTTTGGTTGGTACTGATTTAGCTTTTAACAATAATCGTAAGTTTTGTTCAATATAACCATTACACTGGTTCTTTGGGGGATTTTCTGGAGATCTATTAAATATGGAAGTTCCTTAACAAGTGATTCAGAGAAACAAGTATTGTTTTAGCTGAGAAAAAAATTGCCAACTACCACCAGCCTCTCTTCCCATTTTTTTAGGATATAAAAGTTGGTATGTCAAATATTTGGGCATATCCTTGGCATGTTCATAGTTATTGTTTCATTAGGCATTCTGTAGCTCGAATTATTTTAATTAAATTATTTTAACCTATCAAATTACTTGAATGTTTACTCATCTCAGATAATTTCAAATGTTTTTTATTCAGCTTTTACATCTTTTTCATATTTTTGTCTTCAACTGCATTAAATGACTTTTCAGGTCAGTTTATTAATTTCCTTTTTAATTGGTACTGAGTGCCCTAGCAAACTCCTTAATCCTATTATTTTTATAAGTAGCCCCTGGAATCCTTTTTTTTCTAATTTTTGTCTGTACTCAAACTTCAGACATTAAACATTAGCCATGTACAATTTTACTTATGTGATAAGGCATTTCTCCAAATATATGAAGGAGATTGATTCCTTGTCTACTGCTACTTGGTTGTCCCTTATCAATCTCTGAGACACTTAGTGCTGTTTACTAAAGAATTATAAACATATGAGTTGCACTGTAATTGGGGGCAAGCTTGTGAAGCACTAACTCCATTTCCTCTAGAATTTCTTGCTGGAGAACAAAAGTCCTTTTAAACAAGACTGTTTCAAGACGAAAGAGGAACAAGATCGCACACTTATCTATCTAGATTTTCCTTCCATTTTTAAATTGGAGACTGATCGCTCAAATTATAAAGGCAGGAGGAGCACACAGCTTCCATAACCTTGATTCATTGTCTTCACAGCACTGGGAGGAAAGAAGCAATAGCAAGCTACAGAGCTATAATTACACCCCAGAGGAGGGGGAAGAAAAAAATGAGAGGGAATTGGGCTAGACAGAGGTGTTGGATATTTTTCATTCTTCCTGGTTTTAAAAGACAAGTAGCCTTTAAACGAACTCTTTGTCTTAACAAGGAAAACTGTACATTATACTTAAAGAAGCCTATGCTGGCCTATTTTGTTTATACTTAAACAAAAATACTTAAAGGGCCTTGAAATTTTTTTCAACAATTCATCTTAGTAAATCAATTTCTAAATAGCTCATATCCTTTGCTTTGGTGTTCTGTAGCTAGTTCTAGAACAAAAGGTGTGTGTTCTGTGTAACATGATACTGGGAGAAAGCAAGATCATCCAGGTATGGCTTTGTGAAACTATAAACATCTGTTATGTAAAATTAGAGATTATGTCTAATGTTTATATATTTGCTTGCTAATGGTTGGCTATTAGTGCATGTCAAAACACCAAGTTAAGCCCCCTTTCCTAATGGAAGAGAGACAATCCATTAGGAAATGGATTGGTAGTAGTGGCAGTATTTAGAATGAACCCCGCTCTAACGGTGGGAAAGCCACTGCAGTACATTTTGATGAGGGTCATGTAAAAGAGTAGCCCCAAAGAAAATTATGTTTACTATGATTTGTGTAATTTGGAAATTTGGTTTATCTTATCTCTCTACACTATTCTCTGATGGTCTCTGGGTTACAGAACTTTTATCAGGTTCCTATCAGTAATGTATATAGCATATTTCATTTTAAGTTGCATTTCAGATTTAATTACTTGCTAAACTACTGTATCCAAGACTAAGATGAATCACTTTTTCTGCTATGCGGCTTTAAAAAAAAATCATTTATCTTTTTGTGTATTTCCCCCATCTCTACTTCCCATTATTTTAATACTGCACAGCTTCTGTACTATTTCTGTTCTTTAACGCCTCAAGGTCTCCCCACAAACTTCTGTGCTCACACTGTGCTCTAATACTTCTTTGCCAACTAAATCTGTGCTAGTCAATAGATCTCTCGATTCTCTTCAACTGTTCTTTTTATGCAAGTTGTATACAAAAAATGACTTGCATATCTTAAAAATTTGATGTAAAAAAAGCAATGCTGTTCATAATAATCAAATTATACTTTTAAATATAGGAATTATTTAAAATCCCTTTAATTATGAGAAGGGTTATTACAATGCAAGTAATTCACATTAAAATGCATATTATTCAATAGTTATATTTATTGGTGGGTCAGTTTGCCAGTGTTTTAATTCATGTAGACCCTGTGTCAGTAACAACTAACAGTAATGCTCCTTTAACTAAAAAAATGATAAACTATTTCCATTTATATGCTTTGTGATTATATTATAGTCCTCAAATTTTGTAGTCCTTTACAGAAAAAATAATAATAAAACATGGTGATAAACTCCAATTTGCCACAACACATTTTCTTCAAATCTTAAATAGTATAAAACACAAGACATTTTTTGCACACTCTACTTTTATAGAACAACCAGATTTGTAATTGGTTTCTTTATTTTATTAGCTTTATCAATATACATGGCAGCTTTCTCAAATCTCAAAGTTCCAAAAGTATGTAATTTTAAAGGTGAAAAATCATTTTCCTTTAGATGTCATATTCCTAGAGAACTATTAAAATCTATTTATATAAACAAAAATAATTGATAAACTAACACACTTTAGAAATCAGAATATTTTAAATTATTTTAAATGAATACAAGATATGTCTTTTTAATTAACTATCATAGTTAAATTTAATATCACAAAACAACATGACTTGTCCCCACAAATTTCTCAAATGGGGTAAAGTCATTGGGTTTTACACTTAATATAAGTTTTAAATGTGATTATTAAATGATAATATTTTATCAATTATAGGAAAATACTCATTTATAGGAATTTCCTTAGGTCCATCCATCTTTTTAGGCCAAGTTTGAGCCCATGTCAACTTTCAAGGTTAGATTCAGTGCACCTAACCTGCCTAATAAGAATGTGAATTTCACTGATAAGAAAGAGGAATAAACAGTGATTAAGTCACTGTTTAGCTTGGGAAAAAAAAAAAAAGTTAAAAGTGAATGGGATAGATTCAAATAACTAATTACTTTTTTAAAAAATTGTTTTAAATTTAAACAGGAATGGCCAATAATGTTGGATTTAAAATTTCACAGAATAACGTTAAAAAAAATAGAAATAGTGAAGTCATCACCTTATTGATAAGAAACTAAAGTTTAATAGTCATGAAAGGGGTAACAACCACTTGTAGTCTACATTTAAAAGTAATTTTAATAATAGCTAAAACAAACTAAAAACAAAGAATTCTATTAAGAAAAAACAAAAATGATAAACATTTAATAACACCTAAAATATAGATACTTAAGATCCTAAACAAAAATACTTAAAGTAAAAGGGCCTTGAAATTTTTTTTCAACAATTCATCTTAGTAAATCAATTTCTAAATAGCTCATATCCTTTGCTTTGGTGTTCTGTCTGCTAGCAACTAAACATTAGTACAGTAGAAAATGACTTATGTTCTTTTCAAATGCTTGGCATTATAATGTGATCTCATATCTTTCCTCAAATTAAATTTTGCTCCACATATTCCACATGTATACAGATGAACATCCATGTGCTGTTCCAACTGTTCATTATTTGGGAATATCTGAAAGCAGACCTGGCATATAGTCTCACCAGCAGATAAATGAGAAATCATATGCCGTACATGGTCATGTTTTCTGAAGTTTCCTTGATCACAAATGGAACAGACATACCTGGCCATGCCTTTGTGCATATCATTGTGCAGTCGCAACTGACGTTCTCTTAAAAACTGCTTTCCACATGTCTGGCACACAAACTGTTTTTCCTTCGTATGAACAGTATAGTGTTCTCTTAGGTGACACCGCTGATAAAATCCTTTTCCACACAGATTACAAAAATGCTTTCGTCTGTGATCTCTTTCATTTTCTTCCATGATGGCACTCTTAAACATATCTTGTTCTAGGCAGCTAGACATATGTTCAACCACTAGATTTTCAGTTTCAAAACGCTGGCCACAATTAGGACACCGAAAAGGACAGGCAGAATGTTTAAATAACTGCTTTTTTTGGATACTGTTTATCTGGAAGTGATTGTCCCTAAAATCATCCAACATTTCAACAAACATATCTCTTATTTCAGACTGCTCATCAGGATTCTCTTCCATGTCCATTTTCTCCTCAGTATTTCCTAACCCATTCATTGTCAGATCTTGGGGTTCTCCACATCTTTGAGCATGTTCCTGAAGTTGTCTACCCTTCACAAGTATTTGTCCACATTTACCACATGCACAGATATTTTCAATGTGTTTGGCTAAATAATGAGATGACAGGTCCTCCTCAGTTATTGTGAGTCCACACAGCTCACAAGATGCATTTTCAGTATCTTCTTGTACTGGACTGCTGTTGTTAGGAGCCCTCATATTTTCTAAACCACCTCTTTCATCAGCATTTATTGACATCCGAGGTTTTAGCGTTTTCCTACCACTTTTTTTAATACTCACATCTTCTTCAACATAGTATCTATAAAAAGGCTCTTCAGGTTCATCTTCTAATTCATCGTTGTCAGTGGATTCATTACAATCTTTATCAGTAACTTTAATAATGTTAAAGTCTTTCAGTTCATCTGTAGGAATATCTTCTGGCTCCATCTTGATAATGATTCTTTTCCTCTCAGCAGCTCTGCTTTTTTCTTCACTGGCTAGTTCAGACTCCACTGTGCTACTCTTTCTGCTTCCAGTGGTTGAAGTCGAATCATCAGCAGCCTGGCTTGTGTCTCCTCTATATTTGTCTGTCTGTGCAGAAAATGTCTTAGGAGAATCCTTTTCACCAAATTCAGCCTTGATACTACTGTCTTTTCCATCTCGAACATCTACTATTCTGTGATAGGATCTCGTGTTTTGATACGAATGTCTGTTAGTACAGGTTAGCACATGCTCATCTAATAATTTTTCACAGCTAAAGCCAAATCCACAACTATCACAGGTAAAACTTCGTCCAAAGCGTCGTGACACACGTTCTTTTGGAGTAGATAATTTGGACACAGAGCTTTTTTTACATACATCAAATAGTGGTTCAGGAAAATTACCCAATTGTAAAGACTCTTCATCAGGCTCTCTGTTATGTGGTGTATTAACTGTTGAACTTGGCTCTGCACACCACCTATTGGCTTCATTGCCATTTCTAGCCACAGTATCTTCATACATTCTTACCCCAAATATCATTTTGCTGTTCTGTTTGCTAGAAGCAGAAGATGAGCATTTTGAACTAGAACAATCTGCATCCTGTATGTCTTCCAAGCAGTCAGGAACATTGTACAGCTGTAGGTAATTCATTGCCACTTTAAACTGCTCAAAACTGGAGGGAGCTGTCATAATTTTCCCTAAATACATAAATTGCAAAATGAGATCAAAACACTCAGCACTAATTTTCATGTTGCTGAGATTCAGTTGTGCAGTACTATGCTGATGGTTCATGAAAAACATTCTAAAATAGGAGCTACAAGCAGCTAGAACAGCTTTGTGCGCTTGAAAGTAAATGTCATCAATTGCAATACAGCAGTCACAGAGAAAGCCCCATTCCCTTTGGTTGTTTAGCTGCTGAAGAACGTAGCTGCTGTGGCTGGGCTTTGCCATCTTCATTAATTAGAGACCTAAGTAAAACAAAAATATTACAGTCAGACAAGATATCAGAAAAGCGCTTCAACAAAAGAATAATTTTGATCATGATTTGTAACTTTGCTATTATAATCAAGGTATGAACAGTCTTCCCTTCCAATGTAGCAAAAGTCAGTAATATATACCTGAATCATTTTTTTAAAAAAAATTTATTTATTTTTTAGAGAGAAGGGAAGGAAGGGAGAAAGAGAGGGAGAGAAACATGGATGTCTGAGAGATACATTGATGGGTTGCCTCTCTCATGCCCGCAACTGGAACCTGGTCCACAACCCAGGCACGTGCCCTGACTGGGAACCAAACGAGTGACTTTTCAGTTCACAGGCCGGCATTCAATCCACTGAGCCACACCAGCCAGGGATGAATCATTTTTTAAATTTGAAGATACCCAGCCATTTATTCGAACTACTCATTTTGATTTTAAGAAATACAAGCAAAGGTATCACAAGCAAAATATCATCATTTTGGTTTCATTACAACTCTATGGGGGGAAATGTATATTAAATTTTAAAGGAAAAAAGATAACAAGTTTAAAAGTACTCAAAGTATATATGCCCTGGCTGGTGTGGCTCAGTGGATTGAGCACTGGCCTGCAAAATTAAAGATCACCAGCTCAATTCCCTGTCAGGGCACATGCCTGGGTTGCAGGCCAGGTCCCCAGCTGGAGGCGTGTGAGAGGCAACCGACTGGTGTATGTCTTGCACATCAATGTTTCTCTCCCTCTCTTCCTCCCTCCCCCTCTCTCTAAAAATAAATAAAGAAAATCTTTTTTAAAAAATAAAAGTACTTAAAGTATATAAACAATGAAAGTAAATAAAATAGTAACTTGAATATTAAAAACTTCTTAGATGATGGATATAAAGAAATTATTGCCCATTTTTAAATATGATAAGGACATTTCCGTTTTGATAAAAAAAAATAGCCCTTATCTTTTACATATACATACTGACTTGTTTATAGATGAAATGATATATCTAAAATATGCTTGAAAATAATACAGTGGGTTAAGGGCTTGTATAGATGATGCAAGACAGGTCATGTACTGATAACTACTGAAGCTGGGAGACAGTTATAATTCTATTTTGTATGTTTGAAAATTTCCTTAGAAAAATTTTCTAAAATTATTTTTATTAAATTACATGGAAATGGCACCAAGAAAATAAGTTTGATCACAGCTTTCTTTCTCATTATATAGGAGTAATAATTCTGTAGAGTTAGAATATAGCTGTCTTTCATTGCTTGGCATACACTTTAGGGCATAAAGAAGCAGTGGGCCTATTTGGGAAGAAGGTGTTTATCTATAGATTGTAAATTTTTCTTAATTTTTTTGATTGTTTAAAAAAACTATACAAAAGTAACACATGCTCACTGAAAAAAATTCAAACATAAAAGTATATAAAATAAAAACACACCTTAGGCTGCATACCTCTTCCCAGAGGTAACCTCTCCAAACACTCTGGATTGTATATCTTCAGATCAGTTTCTACGGATACATACAGAGTCAACAAATATTGAGTACCTACTATGTGCCAGGCACATAATTTTGGTTTAAGTAGTGTATTTGTTTTTTAAACCTAAATGCTATCATAATATAGTACTTTCTGCAACTAGTTTTTTTCACTTAACAACATATGATAGACATAAGTACTTTTAATGTAGGGAGTTGACTTTGGGTTAAAAAGGAGAGGAAAATATTAAAAGCACTAGAAGTCCCACCTATGATATCACACAGCTAAAATAAGATCCAATTTCAGCCTCAATTTTTAATCTGTATACATAAAACTTCAGAATTTGTTTACCGAAAAACAAGTTTCTACACAATTTGAACATAAAAACATTTAACAAGCTCTTCAGAGAAGTAAAATGCTCACTCCTCAGTTTCCAAATACTTCAATCCTTATAGTAGTTAAGGAAGTCTTTAAGTTTACTTACTTCACATGCTTTTAAATCTGTTTGTCACAAATCACATGTGGATTACATACTCCTTCCCTTTTCCCTACTACCTAAAGACTCATCCTGCCCCCTTTTTCCTGCCTAAAGATAGAGTTGCACAGCCAGGGGTGCATGTGAAACTACTGTTGAAACACACTGGTGAAATGAAGGTGGCTTATAATGAGAACTACTGCCTTCTTGAAATTTCAATCACTGTGCCTTTTCTATAAGCTAGATCCGGTATTTCAAGTAGGTACAATATTTCAACCTTTTGTGACTCAGGTATCTACGCCCAAACTGTGAGGAATCGTGTTCAGTATGTACCTAAATACAAAAAGCAATTTGTGTACATAGGTTTTCATCAATGTGTTATTTATAATTTGAAATGCCTGGTAATAAGGGAATTGCTAGTCAACCAAGATGAATCTACATCCTAAAATTCACTGTCAGGCAATCTTTAAAAACTGTATTTATGAATGAAAATTGTAGAAGAAAATGAGAAAAGTGTAACCCCAAATTGACTTTATATAGGATGAGATTTCTAGGTCTCTAGGCATTTTTGTAGAATTCAAAAAGACTTTTAATGAATAATAAATCAAAGAGAAAAAGGCAGAGGGATGGCTATTGTCTCAAAAAAAACCCAAAAACTCCAGTAATAGGAGTTGTTTAAAATGGAACAAACTCGTCCAAAGGATAATGAATGCCCTGTGGGGAAGCAAGGACAAATGTTGTTGAGGACTGTATGGTATGGTGAAAAGGGGACAGGCTTTGGATCAGATAGATCTGAGTTCCAATCTAGCATTTGCTGCCTTGGGTAACTTTTATTCTCACTGACTGCAAGTTTCCTGAACTGTTAAAGTGGGGATAGTAATAATCAAACATGAGGATTCATAGAAGCAATGTATACAATGTACAGTGCTTGGTATGTAATAATTAATGGAAGTAACTGTGACAAGTGTATGATTGTGATGCTTATATTAACTATCAGGAGTTAAGTTTGACTAGATAGCCTTAGTTTCCTTCCAAACAGAAGTCTAGTAGCACAGAAGTCAACAGTTAATCTGTAATAACTTTCATGTTTTAAATATCCTGTGCTTGAAATGACAGGAAGAGCCTAAAGGTCCCAAGGACTTTTCAAATTTAAATGAAAAGCAGGTTTATGGTCAGCAACCAAAATTAATGCAACTATATAGAAGACCAAGATGACAGGCACACCTGTAGCTACAGTTGCAATCAATTCAATTAGTGAAAATGCATACATTCTGTTAACACAAACAAAACACTAAAACAAATAAGAGCATCAATAGCGCTACAATGTATGCTTATTAATTCAACAAATATTTATTGAATATGTTAGTATACCAGATACTGTATAAAGTACTGAGAGTAAGCAATAGCACAGGTATTCTGTAATCTCAAGGATACATTATGCACGAGAATTCTGACTTTCTCTAGGTTAGTGACTTCATTCAACATGTACTCAGTAAAGTGTCTACTCTGTGGAAGAAGGCATTGTGCTGTGGTGGAAAGAACAAGGGCTCCAGGTCAGACAGGCCTGTGTATGAAGCTCACTGCCTCCGTATGTCTATTTCAATCTTCCTATCATAGAGCCGGAAACTGAAAAAGTACTGTCTAAAATTAATGCTAATACTACTGCTTCAAGGCTGACCTAGAACCGTAGTTTCATCAATGTCATTATGCAAATATCCAAGTTCTGAGTAAGAATAATTTTAGGTAGACTGACTTTTAATAGCAATCATTCACATATCAGTACCAGCAATTCTGTTCACGTTATACCTCCTTCGGAAAAGCTTTAAGAATGCTTAACACCAAAAAAAAAGGGGAGGGGGAGAGTACAGGGTAAGGGATCTAAATTCCTGTGAGACTTTAAGCTTATCTCTTGAGAATAATTTTTGCATTAAAATTTTATTGAATAAATTTCAAATTCCAAAAGAAGTTTGCTCTTTTCAAGATTTTGATATCCTTAATAATGCTACTAAAATAACTTAGTAAACTTTGTTATAGTAAAGCTTGTAAACAGTTTTGAATAAAAGGATTATTATATTTCAGTTGTCCTTGTGTTTGTAACTGAAATCAGTGGTTGCTTTAGTTTGTGTCACTAGCTTCATCACTGGTGGAATAAATTTATTACAGCTAGAAGCCAAGGGCATGGGACTGAGAGCAGAAACTTCAAATGAGATCTAAAGACAAAGGGTCGCCTAAGGATAGGACACCCAGTGCGCATGCAGTTCTCCAAGAAGAATAAGGAGTTACACAATGCAAAATTTTTACACTGGATTTTTAAAAATTTAGTTTGAGAAAGTTTACCAGCTCATGTTAAATTTAAAAAACTGCCACCAAGCACATTACGCAATTTAGATATTCACAGACTTTCACAACATAAAGAGATCTAATCTAGTCCCAATTCTTATTTCATAGAAGAGCAAAGATCTATGGCTGTTGAATAAAGTATCAAAGGTATATAGTTAACTGGTAAAGTAGGTACTAGGACTCCTGACTACCCAGATGGGTACTAACCACTGTACAGTAGTCACTGGATATTCCTTTGTACTAGGCAGTATGCCCTTCTCAAAGAATACAAGGATGGTGCATGAGTCCTTAACACAGGGCTTATTGGCCAGGTGCTCTTGCACTTGTGACTACCCCCATCTCAGCTCTATCTGTAATATGATTCTATCCATATATTTGCACCTAATCTTATTCAGTAGACATCTTCCCTTAATTGTACTGTGTAAGCTATTTTAGTAAATTCTCACTGACATAGTAAGATTTCAGAAATACTTTTCCTTCACTGCTAAATCTCTAAAGTTGGAAAAAGTTTTGCTGGGTGTCCTTTTGACCTAGCCTTAAGCAGGTGATAATTTAAGGGTCTAAAAATAAGCATATAAAAGTGGATGAAGAAGTAACTTTAAAAAAAAAAAAAACCTATGGAGTTGACCCTGTCTTTAAGGCAAATAATCACTCTCTAATTTGCGTCAAACTTGCATTACCAAGGAGGCCCCTGAGGACGATTTGTACTGCCTCAGTGAGTCTACAGCAGAGCCTAGCATCAGACTCATTCAGCATGCTGGTCTCTGGACTACTAAAAATTACCTCTGGACCTTTAAACGTGTGTGTGTGTGTGTGTGTGTGTGTGTATGTATATACATATATTCATTTCCTTGTATGTATTTCTATGTCTTATTGAATATGTACACGGATTTGAGAGCTATAGATTAGCTTTTAAAGAAGCCTGAAATATAATGAAAGGATTCTCTCATGTTTATAATTCAGAGTATAAGAATGTATTGAACACCTACAATAGTCCTTATGCTGCATAGAGCACTGAAGTAGAGGGTGAAGGATGGTATACGACAGAGCTAATTACATATAAGGGATTAAATTTTAAATCAAGAAACAATCTGAGAATAATTAAGCACTAACCTATATTGAATAAAGTTCAAGAGGAGTTTTGTACGTTTTAGGAAGGATATAGGATTTAAGTGAAGTCTTGATGAATGAGTAAAGAAAAAGAGAAAGCAGAGTGTAGGGAGGAGAGGGAGAAAAGGGAGAAAAAAATGGAACAACTGTAATAGCATAATCAATAAAATATACTTAAAAAAAGAAAAAGGGAAAGGCATTTCAGTAATCTGTATTTGTCTATGTGAAGAATTAGGGAGAAGTAAACAGCAGCAAAAACAAAGTTTGAATATGTGATGGAAGGGAAGGAAGATTTGTTTTACTGGCCTTACTATCACTGTATTAGGGTCTAGTCTAAGAAAATGTGTGTGCATATCATATGTATTATTTATAGTATATATACATGTAAATATGTGCGTAATTGTATTATTTAATCCTTATAACAAACCCTAAAAAGGAGGTGATGTTTTAAGACCCATTTTTCAAATAAGAAAACAGAGGCACACAATATTATATAACTTTCCTAAAGCTATAGAGGATTTGGTAAGATTAGAATACATGCAATATGACTCTTCAGTCTGAGATCATGGCCTTAACAATTTTGCCACCTATAAAAATGAAGTCACCTCAGTAAAATTTTTCCCTAGAATGCCATTTTCTAAGGTATGCAATCCAATTTCTAAATTTAACTTTAATTAAATTCTCTAGGTTTTTCCCTAGAGATTTCCAGGAAGAACCAGTTGTAGAGGCTCCCAAAGATACAAGGTTTCACTTCAAGGCACTTAAATGACAGACTGACAGGCATTGTCAAGTTTAGAAAATTTTATTCACTTTTTAGAGCAGGCATTCTGACTTGTTACTAGACTATACACTCAGTACTTAGTATAGGAAGTTCTTTTTTGAAAAAAATTAATTGGACAGATTTGAGAGGAAAGGAGAGAGAAAAGTAGATTTGTTATTGCATTCATTTATGCATTCATTGGCTGACTTTTGTATGCACCCTGACCAGGACTGAACTTGCAACCTTGGTGTATCGGGAGAATGCTCTAATCAACTGAGCTACCCAGCTCGGGCAATACTGGAAGTTTTGAAATTATAATTGAGTTATGATTCTAAAACTTTATTTTTAAA